AATGATTTTAGAAATTGGATTAGAAAAATTGAGGAATTTTTTTGGATTTGTGTGGAGGGGGTTCCATCGATTGTGGAAGAGAGTTGTAATGCACGGAAGGGATGAAGAGGGTGGACCATGAAAGGTGAACCTGTGAACAGTTTCCAGTGTAATAGCTTCTGATTTTAAGTGATTATCAGGTTACATCATTATAGTTTTGTTTTTCTCGTTTGTCGATTTTTAGGTTGCTCGTGTTTAGGTTGTTTGTATGGAGTTGTGGGTGTGGTTGCGAAAAATAGGTATATGAATAGCCCTTCAAACAGCAGTGTGTATTCGCCACCACCTTAAATTTAAATACTCTTATAATTTCGGTAAAGTGACCTCAGAAGACATGAAAAATCATGAAAATGCTAACTTTAGCTCGTCTATTTACTATAGCTAGGTTAACTACCTGCCGTGATCTAAACTTGACACAATTTGTCGACTGTCTCGGCATTGACCGGACTAACCTATCCGTAAAACACCAATTGGCAACGGGCTCTGTTGTATTACACCCAATGTTTCCAAATGATTATGATGAAGATAGATGGGTGGATTGCTTAGATGAACAAGACATCACTACGGAAGTGTGGATCACTGATGGGACATACTTAGAAGATTGTGAGTTAGAAGAAGGTATGGGTGTAGTTGTTGATGAAGACGACATTTTGCGAGACGAAACTATCACCAATACTACAGTTCAATTGTCTACAACAGACTTCGGTGTTAATCCCATTATGTATGGTCAGAAGCTTTGGTGATACTACAAAAGTGGCCCTTACTGGCCTAGAGATGACACAATTGGAATCTCTTAAAACAAGGGAGCTCACCAATAGAATGCCTTCCCAAATTAGATGGAAACTTGCGCTAATCTTGATTGTAGAATTGGTGGTAAAGTGGAGGAAAGCCCATTCCACGGAGCAGTGGGCAATTCCATTGCTTTATAAGTGTGTAGGTATTTCCCACGAGATGCTGCAATCTTTATATTATAAATTTTGGTGAGTAATAACCGGTATATGAAAATCACGTTCAAATAATGAAATGCATCATCTTTCACGAATTATCATTCCTCATTGACTTCCTGGAAGCACTTCTCAGAGTATGCATAGTTTGCAGCCATTTCTGTCCCGCAACCACGCCTACCAATTCTGACAAAAAGCACCAAAAAATCTTTCAAAATATCTTCAAGTCTCCATATCCTCTTTTATAGCAAAATTCATCTCAACCACCATCATTCATCTCTTCTGCCTCATCACCTCTTTGAGCATGGCATCAACATTGCATACACCGCGTTTCGCATCAACAAACACCACCAGAAGATGTCTTTAAGTGAAGCTTGTGAAGAGCTTCTAGAAACTGGATTTCTTGATCATGAGCATGGAATTCCAAAACTATGGCACCAGCTGGCCGAAGAGCTCCAAAAACCCAAAGGCCCGCATGCCCAATACTACAAGATCAACAAGAACCTCCTACTGAACTTGGACCAGATCGTATACAAGGATCGCCTAAAACAGCTCAAAGAACTTTCTAAGGATGAAATTGACGCCTTGTACGAGGAGACGGTGCAGCTGGAACCGCTACTGCAGTTCAAAAACCAACAAGAAATTCAGAGTTTCCTAGAAAAGCATACCCAGTCGTTCAAGACCCAAACGCTTATGGCCGATTACCTCCCGTCGGCATTGCCAATTGTGAGAGCTATTCACCATGGCAACGCCAGTTTGGCCGATCTGGAGATCTCGATATTGAACAACCTCAAAAGACTATACTCCCATTATAATGACCATCCAGCCAATATCAAAAGACTAATACGGGCCTACAGACAGAACGGTGTTTTGACGAAGGACGTTGCAGCTACATCTTCGGAGGTCAGCAGCTACCTTTCGTCGGTTCTCCTTCCCAAACTACAAAGACTAGAGAAGCTCAACGAGGAGCTAACGGTGCTACAGAATACGTACAAAAACCAGGTTGAGGCGAGATCCAGTGCTGCTGAGAATGCACCCCTAGAGACAAAGAAGCTCCGTGCCGACTACCTCCAATTGTCCAAAAAGCTCACGTCTGTGGCTGTTCTTTGTGACTTTCTTCCGAACCTCATCTTATGCCAGGCTTCCAATTGGCACTCTGATGCGCTGCTTCGGAATATCATGGAGGATTGTCAAGATGTAGCTGAAGCTATCGAAGCCTTCACCTCCGTATTACACTACAAACACGCCAGAAGCATGAAGGTCGATGACATACTACAGATTGATTTCGAACCGCTTGCAAGCGTCTAATATATTTACAGGAGTGGCAGGGCCAGCTATAACTATGTGTCTGCGTCGTTTATACCTGGAACAAACGCTTGTTCACAACCTCCCAGTTGATGCAATCCCAAACCTTCGACAAGTACTCGGACTTGCCTGTGATGCCATAGTCAGTCAAGTAAGCGACATCCCAACAGTTCAAGGCCAAGAGGGGCAAGGTCAAGTCAAGCTCACCGTTGGCAGCCTTTTCTTTGATGCCGTTCAACTGTTCAAACGTCTCCTCAGAGACAGAACCGTTCATATCCAACAGCTGGTTCTTACCGTAGAAGTAAGGTGTACCGTCGTTGTTGCACCGTATGATTTTCAAGGACTTGTCTGGCAATTCCACCAAGAAAACCCAGCCCTGGCCAGTGAGCTTTTCGGCCTCTTTGAGCATGCTGTTCTTGAGTTCCTCCACGGTAGGAATATTGAGGTCGGCCAAACGGTCCATGATGAATCTGGACGGCCTGGTGATCAGAACATCTTCCTTGTTTCCTAGCTGTTGGAAGAAGAAGTGGTTATTGTGTGCCTGCGAGGCGTAATGGAACGTGTGCTGCTCTGTTGTTTGTTTGGCGGTGTTCAATAAGATGAAGTAAGGAGTTCTGGTTTCGTTGGCGCTGCCCACGGTGTGCAATGAAAGGTTTGTGGTCAAATACTTCTGGTAGTCCAACCATGCTGTTTTGAATCCGGCTGGTGAGTACACCCCGCTGATACCACTTTCGACAATTTGTTGTTGGTTTTTCAATTTTGGCACCGTGTGAAGGCCACGTGTGGCTCTTGGTATCGTGAAGCCAAGCCTGGAGAACATTGGGTGCTTAAACTCTGTGGGATCTAGTTTGGTGAAAAATGCTGCAACACTTTTTTGGTTGTCGCGTGCACGACCAGATGGGAAGTGGAGGTCGAAATGAAATACTACGGAAAAGAAATATAATATGAAAAGCGGGATGCAGATTCCGGCATGCTTTGAATTGACTCTACTAGTCGTCGATGTTTTGATGCTGGTGCTTGTTGGTTTACAGACATTCGCAGCCATTCAACACGAGCACCATACACCAAGCCCATAGACTGTGGACATAATCGTAGCGATGGATAATCGACAAGTCCGAAATATATCCTCCTGTTTTTTCAGTAGGAACTTCGCTAAATCCACTTGCCAGGATTGTGTCACAGTGGTACCTCGAAATCCGTTTATTCGGCCTTCCTCGTCTCATCACCCGTCTTCACCTCTTTCGTCTTCAAAGTCTCGATATCACGGCCTACCACAGGCATATTCTGCGAGACCCAGCCAGCATCACGCAAGTGCCTCTTGGGGTCAGCGGTTCTGGGCAATTTCTGGCATAACTCATCATACAGCGCATCCTGGGTCTTGTACTCTCTCAACACCTCGTTAGTCTCTAAGTCAATAAAAATACGTGTGTCTCTGATTCTAAAAGCCACGTCGTCGACACGTAGGAAGAAGCGGCATAATAGAAGCAAGCACAGATGCATGACTCTGATCTTGGTGGAAAGCATGGAGATACCGTTGTCGCCCAACTCGTCCTCAAACAAGATGGACTCGTCAAAGAACAAAATCGGGTCTGGCCGGAGTAGCTTCTTGACTGGGATTTCCAGGTCTGTGGGCTCAAACTCAGCCTCATGTAAAGAACCCTTGTAATTGGTCGAATACGTCCAGTCGTACGGCTTTACCGATTCAAGTTCCGGAGCCGAATTCTGTGAAGCAGTATCGCTTGCATCTGCCTTGGCCTTGGGTCGCGTGCTGAGCCATTCCTTGTAGTAGCTGACCTTGAAGTCTGCATTCTCATTGAGCGAATCTAGAGCATCGAGGGTGTTGAACTCGATGGCAGCGCCGGTTTTGTCGTTCACAAGACGCACGTAGTTGTTTCCGAAAATCATCTCCGGCAAGGGAAACTCAAATCTGGTTTCGTTGAGGTGGTCCAATTCGTCCAGCAGAAGAATGGGCCCCTTCATGGTATATATGCTCCAGTCGTTCACGGTGATCAGCGGGTTCTGCTCAAATGGGAAAGAGGCTTTCGGCAGCGGGATAATGACGGTTCCACAGTGGCCACATTGGGGGTTTTCACAGGTTCCTTGGTGGCTTTTAGCAGGGACACATACTTCAGGTTTGGCGGTGGTTGGAGGAGGAGTTCTCCTAGGCATACGGGAATGCAAATCCAAAGTATTCTGTGTGATTGGAACGTTCTGTTTTTCAGGTCCTCTGGCAACAGCACTGGCACTGGCTGGAGGTCCACGACCCTGAGTATGGAGTTTGACTTGTTCTCTTGCTCTGTTTATATGGAAAGCCAGGATGCCCGAAGTCGGCGCCGAAGCCGGAGACTTGGGTCTTTGAGTATCGGGTTTTTGGCCAGGTTTGGGGAATTGGTCTGGCTGTGACATGGATTACTGGGTAGAAGAAGCAGAGGTGGTGTCTGAGGTTATCGATCTGGGGCTGTTCAATACAGGAGTGCACTACTCGCTGTCCCAGTGTATATATACATCTAAAGAATAGACCGGAGTATGTGGGGGTTGACTGGTTAGTTGAAGGAGTCAAGAAAAGTGGATTGTTGAAAACTAGCACTTTTTCGTGGTGCAGGTTGCTGGGGCATAGGTGGATTTTTGGGGGGTTCAGAATGGCTGCGAAATCGGACTCAAGTACCAGTGCGGGGGCTGAAAGTAGATTTTTCAGACACCGATTTTTCGAAAATTTTAGTAGACCGTTTCTTCTTCCTTACGGAGACCCTCTCTCACGGCCAAAACAGAGTCGGCAATGACGGCGTCAACTCCGGCCTTCATCTGGATCTTACAGGCTTCAGGATCGTTGTTCTCCACACCATAAGTCACACACACAAGACCAGAACTCTTGACGACCTGGGCAAGTCTGGGCGTTTTCACGAGCGTCTTAGCGTTACTGACGATACCCAAAAGATTCCATTTCTTGGCGAATCTGATGGCATTTTGTAAAGACGACGCTCTGATATCAGCCATGGGCTCGGTTCCAGCTTCCGTAAGGTACAAAATCGGCATGGTGGGCTGCTTCAACGAAAGCAAAAGACAAATGTCGGGATGGAACGAAGAAAACAAAATGTCTCTGCCACTGGTGTTCATCTCGTAAACGGTCTTCAAAATCGTGTCCACGTAGAAGTTCATGTCGTAAGCAATTTCGCCCATACTTTCGAGCTGCGCTTCATCCAACATGGGGTACTTGAGCTCGATGTTGAAGCCCACGTTCTTGGGCAACTTCTGGAAAAGCTTCTTGAGCGTGACGAAGTTCGACGCAATCGACAATCCTCTGGCGTTACCCTTGAAACCCTTCTCCTTCCATGTCTTCGTGAGCTTCATTCTATTGGAGATCTGGTTCTTGAACTCTCTGTCCAATTCATCCTCCTCAGCTGCAGAAGCAAAGTTGGGGGCCGATGGGTAAGACGACATCGAACGGGGTCTATTGTACTTGCCCAACAACTCGTCATCAAGAGCGAAATTCTTTGTGATGTTCAAGTTGTTGTTGATCTTATCGTAGCTCAAAATAGACTTGTTTTCTCTGGTGGAAGCTTCGTGCTCACTAAGACCCAAAAACTGCTCCTCTGTCAACGCATGCATCGGAATATCAACACCAGACTCGGCCACCAAGAAATCGTGGTAAATGACAGGAACGTGATCCTTTGTGAGTTGGACATCGAACTCGACGTATGATGCTCCCAACGAAGCAGCAGCGATAAACGACTCGACGGTGTTTTCACCCAACTGTAACGAATCTCTCTTGTTCATGTTCTTACCCAAACCTCTGTGACCAATGACACGAGTGGAGACCAATTGTTTCCAGTACGTATCAGAACGAGTGATGGAGATCTGGTGGTGATCAAAGGACTTGGCACACATGTACTCACACTTGAGGGTTCCCAACATGTCAAGAGAGTCTAACTCTAAGATTGGAATAGTGATGGAGTTGTGAAGAGAACGCAAGTCTGTACCGACCTCAGTGTAGGCACTCTTCAACAAAGCAACACCTCTTCCTAAAATTTTGCCCTTCATTGCACCCTTGTGTGTGTTTTGAAGGTTACTGGTAGGATACTGGTAAGTGGGCACAATATCAAAATTGACCACCATATCATCAGCGCTGACACCAGCATCAAGCTTGAAGGTGATAGGGTCAGTGGCACTTCCATGCTGATCTTCCAAAGGCAAATCAACAATGACAGGAGCTTCAATGATATCCTTGGTCTCCTTGTGGCGACAAGTGACCACAAGCGAAAGAGCAGTGTCAAGTTCTGTGAAGAAGCTCTGAGACATGGAGATCTTGTTCAAATCAATGGGCTTCAGCTGGTCACGCAAATCGGTAGTTCCCAACGTAATAAGCACCAACAGCTCGCCCTTGGCCAAGTATCTGTGACCAAAGGATTTGATTGGCTTCATTTTACGGCGGTTCACTGGTGATCTGGATCTAGAATTGCTTCTTGCACGCGATCTATCTCTGCCATTGGAGTTGTTCAGGTTGTTGCTGCTTGAGATGTTGGAACTGCTGTCAAGCTGCTTGAACTGGCGGTAGACCTCACTAACAGCGTTTCTGTTCAGCTCTGGAAGCTTCTCGATCGAGGAAGTAGACAAGAGCATCTCCTCGCTGGTTGGGTGCAAAAAGGGCGAAGTGGTGTTGGAAGCATTCTTGGACGATGGGTTATGAGTTCTTGGGGTGTTCTTCGAAGGATCGTCGATGTTGTACAAGAGCAAGTTGTCGTCCAAAGGCTTCAACAAGTCAGCCACAACAAGATGACCACGCAAAGAAGCGTGTTCCATAGGCAACCAACCAGAATCATCCACAAGATCAAATCTAGCGGCGTAGTCGATCAAAATCTGAACCACTTCTTGGTAACCCTCTGCTGCAGCAATGAAGATAGGAGTCCAGCCGAAAACACACTCACCCAACTCAGTGTCAGCTCCCATTTTCAACAAGAATTTGACGGTGCTCAAGTGGTTGAGCTTGGAAGCAACATAAAGAGCTGTCTCCTCGTTGTTCTCGGCATCTGTGTAGTTCACATCAATGAAGCCCGATTCAATCAAGTCCTTCACGATATCCTCACAGTTAAGTCTGGTAGCCAAAAGCAACAAGTTGGGGCACGACAATGGTTCCTTGTTGACAGCTAGAAGGTTCACGGTTGTCATGGGGTGCTTACCGATAATGGCAAGGTGCAATGGCGTCAATCCCTCCTGGTCACCAAAGTCATCCACCAGGTCAATTGGAACGTTCTGGTCCAACAAGTTCCATTTGATCATGTACTCCAAAAGCAAGCTGGTGACATCCTTGGCACCGTACTGAGCAGCATAGTGGACGGGAGTTCTCAAGTACGTATCTTTGGCCACAAGCAAGCTCTGGTATTCAGGAAGCTGGTCCACCTTCTTCAAGATGTTTCTCAAACCATCAATGTAAACGGGAGAAAGCTGAGAGCCGTCGGGGCCAGACTCGTTTCCGTACAAACGCTTGATGTCACTGGACTCACCAGGATTACTTTTCTTCTGCTCCTTGATAAGCTGCTTCTTACCAAGAGACACCACATGCTGGTGGAAGAAGTTACGGCCTGAAATGTCGATGGAGTCAAAAAGAGCGTTACTCTCACCAACCTCAGAGGCGTTTTTCTTCGTGAAATCTACCAAGTAGTCGAAAAGACGGTCAGTACAGGCGACGGAGTTGGCCAAAGTGGCCTTGTTCAAAAGCGAAAGAAACAACTTGACCGACTTCTGGGCCCACTCCAAGCCGTCAAGCTCCGAAATAAGCTTATCGGCTTCGTTCTGGTAAATAAGCTCATAAAAGTTCTCCATGAACTCCTTGTCGAACGAGTAGCGTCTGTTTCCGCCGATCTTCAAAACATTCAAGTTCTTGGTGGCAGTCGAAAGCACCTTTTCCGCCTCCAAGTTGTTCTCCAACTCAATCTGCTGGTCGCCCAACTGGTTTAAAATCTCGTTGATGGTGTCCAAGCCCGCCTGAAGCTCCAGACCATTGGCAAACGGCAACGCATCCACTCTGGTGGTCAAGTAGGTCTCTTTGTTGTTGTTGGGCAAATTGACCACAGGCACCTCCTCGTCCAGATCGGCGTCCACACGCAACTGGTCGTTGGCCAAGTTGGTCAAGTAGAGCAACTTCTTATCGAGCTTCTTCAAGATCTTGATGAAACCCTTGTGGTTAAGCTCGCCAAACCACTTCAAGTTTCTGTAAATGGCTCTAAGTTCCAAGGAGATCAGCACAATCTCGTCCAACTCGTCTGTGGTGTCGACCTGGTGGGTGATTTTCCCGTTGGTGTAACCCAAAACATGGACGATTCTGGCAGTTCTTCTGGAGTACTCGTAGTACTTGGCGTCGTAGAACTCCGACACTTTTTCGATGTCTCTATCCAACTCATAGAAGAACTGAGAAAGCACTGTGGAAATCAACTCGGGAAGCTCCAACGGCGAGTAGCTGTTGTAGTTGATAAACTTGTCGATGGTCTTGATGACCTTCTTCAAGTGCTTGTAATTCATGTAGTGGACCGACCATTCTGGGATCTGGTGGGAAAGAAGAGTCTTTCCAAACTTCATGGCCGGTTTGGTTCAACTGGTTTTTTTATGTTTTTTTCAGTGTAGGCGAGTTAACTAATGAGGTGCAACTTGTACCAGCATGGCGCTTGATGCCAGTCCTACATTGGGGGCGACGGGCCGAGTCACCGTTTTGGGGTCACGTGGGGCGCCAGGGTTCAAGGCCCACGAGTATATAAAGGGGCCCTGTCCCCCCGTGTTTTTTTTTATTTTGCTTTACACTTTTTGTGGCTTTTCCCACGTGGTGGGCCCGTGGGGTAGCCCATGGTTGCAAACTCCCAGGCGCGCCACGGGGTCTGTTTAGGGTGGTGATGCGAAGAGTCACTATTTAGCCGCAAGTCTCAGGGTGAAGCGAGAGGAGGATCAGAGGAATGGGGTTTTTTGTTCCAGATTGGGGTGATGTAGAGCGGGGTGGAGTTTCACCTTTTTTCTGTTTTTTTGCATCCTGATTCGTCGTCTTCTTCCACCTTGCAGCATTGTTCGGACTTTTCAGCGATGCCTCGGTTGTATTGTTAGGAACCCTGCTACTTTCCCGCCATGGATGTGTTTTGATATTTCCACAGGGCGCCGGTCAAAAGTGTAGATGGCCGGCTAAGCGAATAACGCGGAAACATTTGCTAATTGGGGTACAGAGACCCTGAGGTTCGGCGGGTATTTCGATAAGCTTTAGCAGAAAGAGGCTATGACGTTTGCGGTCGATCTTTGCCTTGTATTTTGGATCGAAGACAATGGGTGGTACTTTATGTTTGGAGGTTCTTGAGATCTACAAAAGCATGGGTTTAGCTTTAGGCTTTGGCTGCGAAAGAATGCCTTATCAGGAGGGTGTAGCTTATCTTGGGAGGTGGGTGTTTGGGAACAAAGAGATCTACACTTTGGGGTTTCTTGTTTTCCTGATGTGAACTAAAAAGTGTGACTTTTGTGTTTTTTGTTTCTTGCTCTATTTTGTGTAATCTTCCGGACAATGGCATATCTAGTGGACCGTTATTCCTGGCTGTACCACTTCGCAGCCGTTGATATCCATGCATGCTGATGGATTTAATGGAGGTTTAAAAATCAACTTCTATCAAGGTTTATTCCTACATCTTCTTTTTTCTTCTTTGATAGAATGCATTCCTTCAAATCACGTTTACAATTCATGTAACCCCCTCTCCTGTAGTGCATTGCGTATACATGCCAATTGGCTCAACCAATCGAAATCATAACTTTTATTCTGTCACCAGACAGCTTCTATCCTTCTTAGAGCAAAGTCTCGCCCATGGCACAACGGCCAATGGCGCAGGCTGCGCTCACAGTGTCGAGAACATGGTTCTCGTGCTCACCCAAAAGTGGGTTTGTCTCCACAACATCAAGAGAGCTCAAAAGACCCGTCTGGGCCACATCTTCAGCCACAAACAATCCCTCTCTCAAGGTCAAGCCGCCCTCGACACGGGTGCCGGTGGCGGGAGTGAAAGATGGGTCAATGGCGTCAACATCGTAGGACAAGTGGATGGGGAATTTTCTGTCGGGGTTGACCTTGTCCAAGGCCATCTCCACCACCTTGCCAATGCCGTACTTGTCCACGTGGTACATGGAGAACGCTGGAATGCCGTACTTCTTCAAGATGGCCTTCTCGCCGTCGTCCACATCTCTCAAGCCAATGTATGCAATCTTGCCTGGCTTCAACTTGGCAGGCACCCAGCCGAACTCCGGTGGGAAGGACTCAGGGTCAATGCCCAAGACAAACGACATGGGGCAGCCGTGGAGGTTACCAGAGTCGGTGGTCTTTGGAGAGTTGATATCGGCATGGGCATCGATCCACAAAACACACGTGTCGGGGTTGTTTTCCAACGCGGCAGCCACGGTGGCAGTTCCGATGGAGTGGTCGCCGCCAATCACCACCGGAAGCGTGTCCTTCTTGTGTGCTTCAAGACAGCTCTCGAAGATGAGCTTGTTGCAGTCCAGGACGATCTGGGTGTTCTTGACGCCAAACGAGTCCTTGTCGTTGGTCTTTTTCAGCTCGAACTCGTGGCCTTCAAGCGGGTTGGCCACCAGGGTGGTCCAGCCCAACCCCTGGAGCTGTTTTTCGAAACCAGCTTCCAAGATGTATCTGGGACCAAGATCCACACCGCCTTTAGGCTGGCCACCGGAAAATGGGGCGGTGATGATGGTGGATTTCTTTTGAGGATGGAATTTGTATTCTGCTGTTAGTGGGGACTCGAAATCACGTCTCTTCTTACATACCTGGAGTAGTCATTGCTGGAAAAGAAGAGGGTTCCACGGCCGGGTATTTATAATGGAAGCGTGGGGGCAGAAGCGGCAGGCAGGAGCGACGGTTGGTGGTCGTTGCGCATCAATTAGTGGATAAGTGCCGCCAACGGAAGGAGGGTGCGAGAACCTAAATGGAAGGTAACACCAGCGGGGTGATACCACGGTCCAGGACCCCTAATGGCAGGTGACGTCGAGGGGGAATTCGGGATCGGGGAGGCCAATTATGGAATTTTGAATTCTAATAGTAATGGAATTTGGGAATTGTGGGAATTGTGTAATTGGGTTCTTGAGATGAGGAACCGATTATGTTCTGGCTGCAACTGAGACATCGCACTGCCTGGGAGTATTGAAACGATGAAGGAACTGAAATTTTTAGGGCAGCTTTTCCAGATCTCGTAAATTCCTGTCCCATACTGAAAGCCTGTTTCTTTGTTCGCTGGTATCTGAGGTGTTCACGCAAGTGCCGCATGGTCCTTGGCACTAGGGCTATGTTGATGAGGAAGCCGAACCCGAGGGGGGTGAGTTTTGGATGTTGGTGGAAATGGAAATATGGTTGGGAATTGAATTGGGATATGAAGGTTATGAAGGAAGGTTTGGTTTATTTTTGGGGAAATTGGTTTTGTGTCTGGGGTATTCGGTTGGTTGATCTGGGGTAGTTCGCATCTTGCTTTAGTGCCGTTTTCCATCAAACTTTTAGGATAAAGGCGATTGTGCAGTGGACTAGGGAATCTGCAAAAGCGGGCTGTTATTGATTCTATGAGTCTGATGTTGAATGAAGTTTGTTCTGTTTAGTTACTTTTTTTTTTATCATTTCATTTTGCCAATTGAACTGCTATGGCTTATTTTCAAGATGCTATCTCCAATGACGTAATGTGCCAAGTGATAAAACGCCAGATCGAGCAGAAAACAAGATAGCTTTTTTGCCAGCCCAGTTTGAATGTGAGCATTTGATAGCAAAATTTGATCATTTATCAAATTTTAGTCAATTTATCATTGGTCCGGTGGTGTCCCCTCCATCTCGAATGCAAAGAGGAACTAATCTTCACAATGGCTCCTCTTTACAGTCGATATGGTTGATCCTCAAATAAAGCGATATTCAAGGTATTTCAGATCTTCAAGTTATTTCAGATCTTCAAGGTATTTCAACGCCCTATAAGCGGTCTTAGTACTCAAATCACCAACCTACCAGCCTCTCCAAGTACACCATCAATGCACATCGCCAAAGCGTCCTTTTTCATGAACAGCCTTTTTAGTACTTATCCAAACTCCCAAACCCCAAATCATCCACATTAACTGTCCAAAAAATTCAATCATTATAAGCCTCCATCTACCAATGAGTCGCCGCTCGTACAATAGAATCCCTTATCGCGGAATAACGAGCGTGATAAGGTGACTCATTGCCACACCTCACCCTTATTTCACTTTTGTAACTCACAAAATTACTCAATTCCACAACTTTCACCATCTTCATCACTCTAATCTATCCCTCTCACCTCCACCTCAACCCAATCTCCTGATACACCCTCCGAAGGTACTCCGAGACTCCGAGACCAACTCCGAGCGATAAAGCAACTTCGACCCTAAGCCACGAAAAGCTACCATTCCACAAAAACCTTCAAACCTTCAAACCGAATTCCAGGAAATCCCGCCTCCGAACCCCCAAAAAGCTCACAAACTTAAAAGGTACATCTTGCTATTCTTCGCGCATCACCATACTCATCTCAACTGCTACTACTCATGAACGTGGCTTCCTCGGACGACGAGCACTACCTCCTGCCTGTGGACGATGAGCATCAATACGATGATCTGGACGACGGAATGTTGGCCCTGAGCTTGGCTCTGACCCATTTCTCCACTCAAGAGGACCGTTACATCAGAGACCATGATTTGAAGGTCAGGGCGTTTGAGGCTCTCCAGGACGGCAAGGACAAAAACGGCAATTCGGGAACCAATTCACATGGAAAGCTGCTCCACCGCCTGAGAAGACACTCGGTGATCGACTTGCCTACCCATCACCCCCACCCTCTGGTGGCAACAAGAAGCAAACACTTACCTGGAAGTCAGCCTTCGGAATACACCAATGCCTTGCCTGAAGAGTATCCTTCCAGCGAGCTTGTGGACTTGTACGAGAAGGTGAAGATGTGCTTGGACATGAGACACAAGTACATGGATTTGTCTCTCCAGAGATGTGAGTTGGATAACCCCAAGAACCACGATAAGTGGGAGATCTACCCTCCACCACCTAAGCCTACGTACAAGCTGAAGAATAAGTTCAACCAGCTTCCAGGCCAACACACGGAGGAGGACGACATTGACATGAACAAGTTCCCCATGTCCGACGTTAATGCTAACGATAGGTTCGAACTCAGGCACAACGACCAAGACGTGTACGAGGTCATTGACAAGACAACGGGCGAGCCAATCTCTAGTGCTCCATCTTTGAAAGAGTACTACACCGACTTGAACAAGATCGCTCGTATCTCTTCCGATGGTCCTATCAAGTCCTTTGCGTTCAAGCGTCTCGAGTACTTGGAGACAAAGTGGAACATGTACTACTTGCTCAACGACTTTGAGGAGAATAAGCAGTCCAAGCGTAACCCCCACAGAGATTTCTACAATGTCAGAAAGGTCGACACCCATATCCACCACAGCGCTTGCATGAACCAGAAGCACTTGTTGCGTTTCATCAAGTACAAGTTGAAGACCAAGCCCAACGAGCAAGTCATTTTCAGAGACGGCAAGCTTTTGACCTTGGAGGAGGTGTTCGACTCGTTGAAGCTCACCGCCTACGATTTGTCCATCGACACCTTGGATATGCATGCCCACACCGACACGTTCCACCGTTTCGATAAGTTCAATTTGAAGTACAACCCAATCGGCGAGTCCCGTTTGCGTGAGATCTTCTTGAAGACAGACAACTTCATCAACGGTAAGTACTTGGCAGAAATCACCAAACAGGTTTTTGAGGATCTTGAGAATTCCAAGTACCAGATGACTGAGTTGCGTATCTCCATCTACGGTCGTTCCTACGATGAATGGGATAAATTAGCTCGCTGGATTGTCAACAACAAGCTTTTCTCTCACAATGTCAGATGGTTGATTCAGGTGCCTCGTCTTTACGACTTGTACAAGAAGAATGGCAATGTCACCAATTTCCACCAAATCATGGTGAACTTGTTTGAGCCCTTGTTCAAGGTGACTCTTGATCCAAAGCTGAACCCCAACTTGCACATCTTCCTCCAAAGAGTTGTTGGGTTTGACTCTGTGGATGACGAGTCCAAGCCAGAGAGACCCATTAACGCAAAGCACTTCCCTCCAGCTTCTGAATGGGATGGCAGCAAGAACCCACCATACTCGTACTACTTGTACTACTTATACGCTGACTTGGTCTCGTTGAACAATTTGCGTTCTGCCTTGGGCTACAATACCTTTGTCCTCCGGCCTCACTGCGGAGAAGCTGGTGACCCAGAGCACCTTATTTCTGCATTCTTGACCACCCACTCCATCTCCCACGGTATCAGGTTGCGGAAGCTTCCGTTCGTCCAGTACTTGTACTATTTGGACCAAATTGGATTGGCTGTCTCGCCCTTGTCAAACAACGCATTGTTCTTGACGTACGATAAGAACCCGTTCTTCAGTTTCTTCAAGCGAGGCTTGAATGTGTCCTTGTCCACTGACGATCCTTTGCAGTTCTCCTACACCAAGGAGCCATTGATTGAAGAGTACTCTGTTGCGGCACAGATTTACAAGCTTTCAGGCGTTGACATGTGTGAATTGGCCATGAACTCGGTGAAGCAGTCAGGCTACGAGGCCTCCATCAAGAAGCACTGGCTTGGTAAAAACTACATGAGAGGCGGTGTCGCTGGAAACGACATTGAAAAAACGAACGTGCCCGACATTCGTATAAGGTACAGAGACGAGACTCTCCAGAGCGAGCTTAGTCTCGTGGAGTACTACACCTCGTTGAACAAGGAAAGGATATAGTGAAGATAGTCAGTCTCTTGAAAAAACCGCGTATGCGCATCCGCCTAACGTATGCGCTTATATGGCGCCCAGGCCCCATGCGTGCACAAGAGCCTATCGACTAACCTTGCTTGGTACTACTCCTTCATTATTCCTTCTAAGAATGCCTTCTACGAGTTATGTTGATCTTGTGAGTCCCAAGGTGACCTCCAAATCACTTCCTGCTGTTCTCACTATCGCAGGTCTGGACTCCTCGGGAGGTGCCGGTATCGAAGCAGACATCAAAACCATCAATGCCCACGGTGTCTACGGACTTACTTGTATTGCAGCATTGACTGCTCAAAACACCTCTGGTGTTGAGGCGGTGGAGCAAACGTCAATTGAGCATTTGCGCAAGATCCTCAAGAAGAACTTTGAAGATTTCATCGAGGGTTACCCTGGAGATCATCCATTGAAGGTTGTCAAGACCGGAATGCTTACAGAGGCGGCTGCAACTGTACTTTCGGAGAATGTGGACTACTTGAATAAGAATGACGTCAAGATCGTCATGGACCCTGTGATGGTCAGCACTTCCGGAGTCACCTTGACTGACAACAAGACTGTGCAGTTATGCTTCGACAAGATCTTCCCTTCAACCTACTTGTGTACCCCAAATTATGTGGAAACGGTGCAATTGTATCAGGCAAAGAAGGGTAAGGCTCCTGAACTCAAGACCCTCGCTGACCTCGAAAAGATCATTGTGGAGTTGCAGCAAATTCTTGAGTGTCAGAACGTTTTGATTAAAGGAGGTCATATTCCCTGGACCAAGGATGGTCAATTGTCTGAAGACAAAGCTGGTGATGACTTGGTAATTGCGGACGTTCTCTACGAATCGCAAGCTGACAAGATCACCATTTTCAGGTCCCCCTACATAGTGCTGAACAACACCCATGGCACCGGCTGCACTTTGGCGAGCTCCTTATCTTCCAACATTGCCAAGGGACTCACTCTCCTGCAAGCCGTGCCCCTTTCGGTTAACTTCATCCACTCTGGTATGCTTAGTTTGTCGCTGAAGCTTGGACATGGCCACGGACCTTTGGACCATACTAATATCGCCAACAGCAGTGTCCAATCAGTGATTAAAGGTTCTGATACCATTGCAAAGGACTTGAAGGATAACCATGGCGGCGCCCTTGGCTATTTCAAAAACCACAAGGTCGTAAAGGACAACTGGAAGAGGTACACTGAGCATCCGTTTGTGGAGCTTGTGGCGACCAACAAACTTCCTTTTGATAAGTTCCTCTTCTACTTGAAACAGGACTTTTACTACTTGGTTAACTACGCTCAAATCCATGGTCTTGCTGCGCTGGTGGCTCCCACATACGAGCAAATCCATGCTCAGGCCGAAGTGATTGACAATATCATGAAGGAAATCGAAAGACACAAGGCGAAGTTGTTGAAGAAGTACAATGTTGATTTCGACAATGCCGACTTGGATTCGGAACTTCAACCTGCCAAGCCTTGCATCGAGTACTGTGACTATCTCTTGAAAGCTGGCAAAACCCAGGACTTCTTGGGTATCAAGGTTGCATTGGCACCTTGTCTCCATGGCTACGCTGAGGCAGGTGTGTTTGGTCAAGGCGTTCGTTCGAAGCATGACGGGTCGCTTGGGGTTTTGTCATCAGAGGATGAGTCTGAGGTGTACGGTTCGTGGCTAGACGATTACACCTCGGACTGGTACACAGAGGCTCATGAGCTCGGTAAGAAGGTTTTAGATGACACTATTGCTGGCACGGGTGTTTCTGAGCAACGTTTGGACGAGTTGGTGGAAATCTTCAACGACGTGACGTTGTTGGAAATCAGTTTCTGGGACGAGATCGTGAACTCTTTATAGAGAGGTAATAGAGCTATAAAAGTGAGTTTACAGTTGGTATACGAATGGTGGTCAAGCTCTCCATGAACCGATCGTCACTAATGATGAGCGGTTCTCTTCCACTTACTTCCTCTTTCGTGAGTGACCTATTAATTCAAGGAAGTTATAGCTCATTTATCGATCATTCAATGACTCTCTTCGGCTTTCCCTAATCAGCCATACGTGACTACCGACTACTATAGATAAAAGATAAAATGAGGACCTTAGTACAACTCACAAGCTATCCACAAATCCCAATACTGTCAGTATGTCTGCTTCACCCCAATATCCCGTCAACCTGGCAGAATATCAGCAATCTTGTCCATCTTCGGAAACGACCGCTTGTGAACTGAGCTACACTGACTCTTACTACTATGGACTGTCAGACCAGTATTCCTCATGTCCAAGTTCAGAGACATGGGACAACTACCGACCCGTGGATGTCCCACTTCGTGACGACTCCAGAGGAAGACCTATCAATTACTATGTTGTCACCCCAAACTGTCCACATTGTCACCATCCTCTGCAACTTTACCAGGTAAGCCAGAGTGAGCTTTACAGGCTTGCAAATGAACAAAGGGCTTATCAAGAACAGCTCTACCTTGGGCAAATTCCAAGAGACTATTATCCTCAGGTTGGATATAATTACCCACAGCCCCAGGCCCCTTACCCATACCAAAGCTACTATAATCAGCAATATGGGTACTCAGGTGGGTATTCTCAAGGACCACAGGAGCAGCAGAATTATGGTCAGCAACAGACTTACACTCAAGAGCCTTCTTTGAATTATCAAAATTACCCCGTTCAACAACCTGCTGCTGAAATCACCCATCAGCAAGTGATTCCCAATGGAGAATGTGAATATTACAATTACCCTCCAGTCCAGCCAATTCAGACTACCAATACTCAAACAGTTAAGTGCCAACTTGCTCAGGAGCCCCTTCTTCCAGTAAGTTCCCAGCCGCTTCCAAAAAAGGTAGACTGGAGCTATACACCTAGGAAGGCTGCTGCCGAATCAGGAAACAATACCAAGTCGTCAAAGTTTTGCTGGAAGTACCTTGAGGACCCATCGTTTTCGTTGCCCAATCCGAGGCGTATGCAGCCATCAATATTCGAAGTTTTAGCCCATGCTGAAGAAGAAAAGGATGCCCAAGAATCCAACCTTCCGGATGATCAAGAGAACGGTGGTTATTCAAGTAACAGTCTGTCTTCAGATGAGTCAGGTACAGAGGATGAAGACGGTGATGAGGATTCTAAAGTCCCTGAGAAGTACAATGACGAGAACCTTGATCTTTCTACCTTGGACGATGAAGAGCTCATGGCCTATCAGAGCTACAAGATTTCCAAAATGTTTGGCTACGATACGGATTCCGCTGAAGTTCAGGTGGAGACTGATCGAATCACACAGTCAACGGAAAATTTGGACATCAATGGGTCCACGAATGCAGATGAAGAGGCCCCTAAGGGTAGTGATAATGAGCAGAGTTCTGTTTCGATGAACGGGCAAAGCCAACGGTCCCTGAACAGCAGTAAGTTGTAATGCCTTGGAATATAGAAATATAGAAATAAAATTATAGAGAAAAAAAATCTATAGTCTATCGTAGTTCGTACTGGCTAGAGACTGAGACTGCAGTAGTCTAGGGTACCATATAATTGAAGGGTCTCACATATAGATACTTATACAAACTTATGAAAAATAAAGCTAATTGGGGGCAAAATAATAGCTAAAAGACTATAAAGCCATCATTTTGATGCACAGGTTCAGTGCCGAGGAGTCCTCAACACCTCTACCAACTCTAATTCATACCGAGCACCAGCAACGTCCATACAAAACACACCTAAAACGAATTTCACATCTTCCAGTGCTCCCATACTCAAATTCAAATTAAATCACCCCTTTTGATTTCCTTTTATCTCCTATCCCGTGCACTCCCGTCAATCTCTACCACCCACCGTTTCTGGTCCGCCTACTGGCGAGGTTCTCCGATTTCGCAGCCATATTGCTGCACCACCCTACTAGTCTCCACGGCCACTTTCCTGCCAATTCCCTTCAAAATTTCAAAAACCACCCAAATTCAACACTCCATACAGAAAAGCCAAAAACCCCAATCAAATAAGCTCAACAGATCCATCACAGTGGGTCCCCTTTTGCTACAGCCACCATTTATCGTGGTGTACGGGCCTCCACTACTGATACGTGCTTCTTTCTCCATCCGATCCACATCCACCTTCTCCAATTTCCATGTACAATCCGTACCAGGGCGGCTACCAAGGCGGCTACCAGCAAGGTGGCGGCTTTCAAGGCCAGTATGGATTTCAGGGCCAGCAGCAGCAGCCGTATATGCAGCAGCAGCAGACCGGCTTTTATCAGCAGAATCAACCCCAGCAGCCTGGTCTCTTCCAAGGCCAGCAGACGGGCTTTCAACCTCAACAAACGGGATTCCAGCCTCAGCAAACTGGGTTTCAGCAGCAATTTCCCCAGCAGACCCCTCAATTGAACCAGCAGGCCACAGGCTTCCAGCCTCAGCAGACTGGCTTCAACTCCGGCTACAACCAGCCCTTGACGGCTCAGAAAACCGGCTTTTCCGCCGCTTTGGGCTCCGTCACCGAAAACACCGAGTTGAAGATTCCTAGCATCCGTTTGTCCTTCATCAGCGCCGAGGACCAGACCAAGTTTGAGCACCTCTTCCGTACCGCAGTGCCCAAGGGTGAGAACTCCATCAGTGGTGACGGTGCAAGAGACATCTTGTTGCGTTCCGGATTGCAACCCGTCACTTTGGCGGAGATCTGGACTCTTGCCGATACAAACAAGCTGGGTGCTCTCTTGTTCCCAGAGTTCGCCTTGGCCTTGCACTTGTGCAACATGTCCTTGAAGAACGAGCCATTGCCTGGAGTTTTGCCTGAGCGCTGGCAGAACGAGGTGCAGAGTTTCGTCGATGCCATCAGTTTCGCCGTTCCCGAGGACCCCAACAAGATCATGGCCAACACCCCATTTTCTACCTTTGCAGCTCCAAAGCCTTCTCAGAGCGACTGGTTGGACAACCAGCCCGTGAACCTGAACTTCTCTGGTAACGCGGCCCCTCCTCCAACCTCGTTTACGGCACAGCCAACAGGCGGTCTCAACTCGTTGACCGCTCAACGTACTGGCGGTGGTTCCTTCGTGGCTTTGCAGCCTCAGCAGACCGCTGGTTTGGTTCCTGCGCAGCCATTGCAGTCTCAGAGAACTGGTCCACTCCAGCAACAGGCTACTGGCTTCCAGCAGCAACAGCAGCAACAGCAGCAGCCCCAGTTGACCTCTCAGCGCACTGGTCCTACCAACTTCCAGCCTCAGCAAACTGGCCTTCAGCCACAGGGCACAGGCTTTAACGGCTCTCAGGGTCTTCAGCAGCAGCGTACTGGTGGACTTCAGCAGCAACGTACCGGTGGTTTCCAGCCCCAGCAAACTGGCGGTTTCCAGCCTCAACAGACTGGCGGTTTCCAGCCTCAACAGACTGGTGGTTTCCAACCTCAACAAACTGGTGGTTTCCAGCCTCAGCAGACCGGTGGCTTGTTGCAGTCTCAGCCCACTGGTAAGCCTGGTCAATGGGGTTTTGTTCACACTCCCACCGGTGGTATTCCTGGTTTGAATGCAATGGAGCAGCACTTCTTGCCTAATGCTCAAATGAACACCAACAATTTGCAGAATGCTATGGGAGGTTCATTGAAGAGCAACGTGACTTGGGCTATTACAAAGCAGGAGAAGCTGATTTATGATGGCATTTTCGGTGCTTGGGATCCCGAGAGAAAGGGCTTCATTCAGGGCGACACTGCCATTGGTATCTTCAACAAGTCAGGTTTGAGTAGACCCGACTTGGAGTCTATCTGGAATTTGTGTGATGCTGGCAATCGTGGAAAGCTTAACAAGGATGAATTCGCCGTGGCCATGCATCTTGTGTACCGTCGTTTGAACGGACTTGAAATTCCTTTGAGATTGCCTCCAGAGTTGATTCCTCCTTCTGCCAAGTACTTGCAGGATTCCGTGGATTCCTTGAAGAATCTGTTGAAGGGTGGCTCGAAGGGTAAGCCCCAGGCTGCCAAGCCACCTACTTCTGCATCGAGATTCAGAAATAACGATGATGATATGGGATATGTGTCCAACTCTCGTCACCGCAGCAGAAGACCTACCGAGGAGCAGCCAAGTAGCGTTCAATCCTCTAAATCGCGTGACTTGACTACTGCCGACTTGAAGAAATTGATTAGAGAGAAGCAAATTTTGTTAGATGCCGTTAACTCTGAAGATCAACACTCTTCCATTGCCAACAAGCAGTCCGATGATTACAACAGCAGATTGATTGAAGGCTTGAAGACTCAGATCAGAGACACAGAATCTAAATTGAGCAAGGTTTCCCTTGGAGGCTCCCAAGAGGAGAAGACCCAGCTTTTGGAGAAATTGAACCATTTCACCAAGGACAAGGTTCCTAGTTTGATTCAGAGAATTCACAAGGTTAACCAGGACCTTGCCAGGACCAAGACAGAGGTGGCTAAGGCCAAGTTGAAGAAGGAGTACCCAGATTGGACTCCTGAGGCTGGTGATTCTGATATCGTTGGCACTGGTCCAAACGGTGAAGTGACTGATACTGATAGAAGAAAGCACAAGTCCAAGGCGCTTTTGAGACAGCGTATGGCTGCCCTCACTGGCAAGTCGGTCTCTGACGGTACAAACAAGGATGCAGACCAAAAGCTCAAGCAAATCTCTGAGAATGCCACCAAGGAATGCGAGAGCGAGTCATCTATGATCAAGGATATTGAGACAAGCATCAAGGACTTGGAAGACGGTGCCGCCCTCCACCTTCAGGTATCTGTAAAAGACCAGAGTGGCAGCGAGAAATGGGAAAGTGGTATTGGCGTGTCGCACGCTGTGAAGGTTTTCCTCGATGAGTTGAAGCAGTTTGAGCAAAAGCAATCGAAGCCTCAAGGACTGGGTGGAGATTACTTCTCAGGTTCCAAGCCCGCAGCCCAAACCGCTCCAAGTCTGTCATCGTCCAGAAGCAGTGCTGTTTCTTCGCCAGCTGCCCACAAGACTCCTGAAGAGAGACAGGCCTACATCAAGGAGCAGGCTCAGAAGAGAATGAACGAGAGATTGGCTAAATTGGGTCTCTCTCGTAAGGGTCAACAAGCCTCTCAAGGTGAGGCTTCATCTCCTAAACCAGCATCACCAAAGCCAGTGGAAACACCCAAGGCTCCTGAACCGGCTCCTCCAAAGCCAGAGCCTCACCAGCCAAAGGAAGCACCAAAGGCTCCTGAGCCTGAGAAGCAAAATGAATCGAGTGATGACGATGATGAAGAGTATGCTGCCTTACTCAAGCAGAAGCAAGAATTGGAGGCCAAGAAGCTCAAGAAGAAGCAGGAGAAGGAAGCAAGACTTGCCAAGTTGAAGAAGGAGATGGCCGACATGGAAGGCTCTAGCGATGAAGAGGCTCCAGCTCCTGCCAAGGCTTACACACCTAGCAGCAACAAGGCTACTCCTGCCACTGAAGCTCCAAAGGCTCCTGAGCCACCAGCTGAGGCTAAGCCAGAAGAGCATAAGCCAGAAGAGCCTAAGAAAGAGGAATCGAGTCAGGCTGCTAATGGTCCTCACAAGAGCAATCCATTTGCCAGGTTTGGCACTGACGCCAACAAGGGTGCTGACAAGGCGGCAGGAACCCCAGGCTCTGCTCAGAACACCAACCCCTTCTTCAAGTCCCAGCAAAAGCAGGAACCTGTTGATCAGAAACGCATGGAGGCACAAAGAGCCTCCCAGAGAGGTTTGGGAAGTGATGACTGGAGTGACGAGGAGGCAAACTCCTCCGATGATGACGAGCCTAACAGAGCTGGTGCCGCTAAGTTGGCCAGTTTGCTCTTTGGTGGTATGCCTCAGCCGGTGACCAGAAACCCAACTGGAAACCCCGGTGCCCAAGAGCAGAAGGCCCCAGAACCAGCACAAGCTCAAGAGAAGCAAGCTGAGCCTCAGGCTCCACAGCAGCCTCCTCTGGCTCCTGCTGAAGCGCCTCCAGCTCCTGTGGAAGCTCCCCCAGCCCCTGTTGAAGCTCCTCCTGCTCCTTCTCAGGCTCCTCCTGCTCCAGCTCCCCCTGCTCAAGCTCCTCCCGCTCCAATGGCTCCTCAAAATGACGACGAGTCATCTGAGTTTGACAGCGACTCCACCGATGAGTTTGCAACACCTTCTCCACCAAGCAGAGCTGCTGATCTCGGTGCTGATGATGTGCCTCCAGTTCCTGGCCAGGCGCCTCCACCACCAATTCCTCAGGAGGCTCCTCCAGTTCCATCTGCTGTCCCACCTATTCCACAAGAAGCACCTCCAGTGCCACTGCAGGCTCCTCCTCCACCATCGGGAGGTCCTCCTCCACCTCCTCTTCCTGATCAGGCTCCGCCTGCTCCTTCAGGTGGTGCTCCCCCACCACCTCCATCGTTCCTTTCGAGTCCTCCACCTCCACCTCCAGATCTTGGAGGAGCAAAGGCGGCAGGACCACCTCTGGGAGGTGCACCAAACATCGGTGCTCTCTTGGGACAAATCCAGGGCGGAAGGTCTCTTAAAAAAGTTGACGATAGTCAAAAGAAGATTGCCGATGGTGCTACTGTCGGTAGAGTGCTTTAATCTCCTGTGCTATACTTTTGCTCACAAATTAGATTTGAACTATTTACAAAATGTACCACTCAACGTATTCACAAATTAGTCTGACTTGCTCTCCTCTTCATGGTTTGGCACGATGTGAAGCTTCTTGTCCTTCATGACAACCTGAACATCATCGCCTTCCTTCACCTGGCCCTTGATCATCAACATGGCCAATGGATTCAAAAGGTCCTTTTGAAGAACTCTGTTCAAAGGTCTTGCACCGTAAATTGGATCGTAGCCCTTGTTAGCCAAAAACTCCTTCACCTCGTCAGAAAGGTGGAGGTACATTCTCTTGTCACTCAATCTATCGCCAATCTCTCTCAATCTGATCTCGAGAATGTTTCTCAACGATGACTTTGAGAGCCTATTGAAGACCAAAACTTCGTCAAGACGGTTGAAGAATTCTGGTGGGTAATGATGACGCAACGTCTCGGTGATTTCCAGCTTCACAGATTCGTTAATAGAGCCATCGTCCTTGGCATCCTTATCAGCAAGAAGAATTTCCTGACCGATGTTGGAAGTCATGACAATGATTGTGTTTCTGAAATCGATGTGCTTGCCGTGAGAGTCCGTCAACGATCCCTCATCAAGAACCTGCAAGAGCAACTTAGAAACATCCTTGTGAGCTTTCTCGAACTCGTCGAACAAGATCACGGAATATGGTTTTCTTCTCACAGCCTCCGTCAACTCACCGCTGTCCTCGTATCCAACGTATCCTGGTGGAGAGCCGATCAAACGAGACACAGTATGCTTTTCTTGGAACTCAGACATATCGAATCTAATGACAGAGCTCTTGTCGTTGAACAAAAACTCTGCGAGCTGCTTGGTCAACTCAGTCTTACCGGTACCGGTTGGGCCCAAAAACATAAATGATGCAATTGGTCTCTTGTCACTCGTGAGGCCAGCTCTTTGCAAACGCACCGCATCAGAAACGGAGTGGATGGCCTCATCCTGGCCCACCACATGCTGCTTGAGGATGATTTCCATGTCAAGCAATTTATCCTTCTCGCCCTTCATCAAGTTGCTGAGAGGGATACCGGTCATTTTTGAGATGACAGCGGCGATATCGTCAGAAGTGACAGAGTCATGCAAGATCGACAGAGACTTTGCCACGTCTTCGGACTCCGTAAGCTCCTTCACCAGTTCTTGCAATCTTGGGATTGTGGAGTATTGCAACTCAGAAGCCTTGGCGTAGTTGCCTTCTCTTTGGCTCTCTTCCAAGTCAAATCTGGCCTGCTCCAAATCGGCCTTGGCCTGCTTAACTTCATCGATAGCCTTCTTCTCTGCCTCCCACTTTTCCGTCAATTCTTTGAGCTCCTCTTCCTTTACCTTGAGCTCTTCCTCGAGCTTCTTAGCTCTGTCCACAGACAATTGGTCCTCCTCCTTTCTGAGAGACTCCAATTCTATTTGAATGGTCATGATCTGTCTGTCCAAATGAGTGATGGCGTCTGGACGAGATTCATGTTGCAAACGCAAGGTTGAGCAAGCTTCATCGACCAAGTCGATGGCTTTATCCGGAAGGAACCTGTCGGTGATGTACCTGTTGGAGTATAAACCAGCAGTAACGAGTGCTCCATCAGTGATACGAACACCGTGATGAACTTCATAACGCTCCTTGAGTCCACGAAGGATCGAGATGGAGTCTTGAACTGATGGCTCGTTGACCATAACGGGCGAGAATCTTCTCGCTAATGCTGCATCCTTCTCCACGTACTTTCTGTATTCCTCGATGGTGGTGGCACCACAAAGCGAGAGTTTGCCTCTGGCCAAAGCCGGCTTCAACATGTTGGAAGCATCGATGGAACCTTCAGCTTTACCCAAACCCATGAGAAGATGAAGCTCGTCAACGAAAAGGATTACAGAACCCTTCTTGTCTTCGACTTCCTGCAAGATCTTCTTAAGCTTGGCCTCAAAGTCGCCTCTGAACTTGGCGCCAGAGATGATACCAGCCAAATCAAGGGTAATAATTTGCTTGTCCTTCATCAGCTCGGGTACCTCGCCCTTTAGTATTCTCTGAGCAAGACCCTCCATGATAGCGGTCTTACCAGTACCTGCGTTACCGATGAGCACTGGGTTGTTCTTCGTTCTTCTAGAAAGCACTTGAACGGTTCTCCTGATTTCCTCATCACGACCAATAACGGGATCTAGTTTGCCTTCCTTGGCCAAATCCGTGAGGTTGGTTCCGTACTTCTCCAAAGCTGGAACATTGGGATCATCATCCTTGTTCATCTCCATTTGCATATTTCTTGCTGAAGACGAGCTGAAATTCCTAAAACTCAGCACACCGACTCTCAAATCCTTCATTTTCGGTATTAATGGAGCTGGATCTATCGATCCAGATCTTGCAACAATCGACATGGCTCTAGGACTAGCCACAGCAGCGGGTATGTGCGCCCGTTGCATGGGCACCCTTCTCAATACTCTAGTTGCACGAGCAGATTTCGAAAGCATATTCCTAAAGTTAGGAAATGTCCCAATTGACGATGATTTATACAAGTTTATCTGGAGACCGCCATTGAGTGACTCAAGTCACGTGCACCTAATGGCAATAGGATGTTCTCGAACGATTGCAAATTCTGGAAAATTCTAGGTTGTTCCACGGCATATTCATAAAGTGGGCAGACATCGGGGAATCTATTTGATTTAGGTCTCCATGCTTTGAAATGATAGTCTGAATTTGTATTTGGGTGATTTTTCACATCGCTTTGAGGTTTTCACGATTTGTGAGATTTGTAGGTTTGGCTGCGATTTCTCAGAATATCCTACAAGATTCGAAATAAGTTCGAATTTCGCAAATAAATGATAAATCTAGAATTGTTGAGAAATTCCCTTAGTAAAAGCGAACACCAGGCAGCTGTCGGCTACTATCTTATTATTTCAGAGCCAGGAAGGTGACGACATTTGAAAGCACGAATATTTAAGAAAATTGACTTTCGCTGAACTTTTATGGTACAGCTACATGAAAAGAGGCCGAAAGGGTTCATCTAAATCCAATCAAAAGACGTTGCATCAATGTATACATCAGTAAGTCTCAAGTGATGCCCATAAACCAATTCAACCTATCGAATTGGGTCATTGGGGGATGTGTTTTAGATGATAAACTTCATTGAGTGGATTCCTTCTTTTGAAGAAGCTGACCAGGGTTTCTCGATTAAAACCATACCAAAAAATTTTTCTTTATCCTCAAGATTGAACCCAAAGGTTTTTGAGCATTTTTTGACCAAAATTTGAATAAAAGCCCAAATCCATGAAATGTCACGTGACTTGATAGAGTATCACAATCAATAAACCTGCGTGTATTACTCAGCAAAGCTGCCTGCGTGGCGTAATGGTTAGCGCATTTGACTTCTAATCAAAAGATTCCGGGTTCGAGTCCCGGCGTGGGTTTGAAGCGGTTTTAGCTCAGTTGGGAGAGCGTCAGACTGAAGATCTGGAGGTCCTGTGTTCGATCCACAGAAATCGCATATTTTTTTCAATATTCTTTATATTTTGATCAGTAAAAAGATTCTGTCGTCACTACAAGTCAATTAACCTGTCTTTGCATTTCTATAAGTACCTTGCGCATCACTTGTCATCCCAGTAGTCATCGCGATTGAAACCAGGCAAAGGTTGGAATGGTGGTAGCGCATTGTCGTCATCCAGATCATTAATATCGTTAGTGTCGTTAGTGTCGTTATACTGTGTGCCAAGTATGTCATCTGCGACATTCTGGCGGGACCTAGAGGACCCTTCTTGTGGTTCCCCTAGGATATCGTTTGTGTTGGTATGGTGGGCGGGTCCATCACCGCCTGCCCTTTCCCAGGCTTCGTCATCATCAATATATTGCACCTCGTAGCCTCCATCGCCATAATCGTCACTGTCATCATGATGTGTGTCATCGTTAACAGAGTCACGCTCGTCTCCAACATTGTCAAAGTACAATGCGTCTCTAGCCTCACCAATGTTGGCCTCTCCAAGATCTAATTCTGCATCCCGAGAATTGTTTTGAGTCACTGAAGGGGTACGGTTGACAGCGGTGGATGAGGTTTCACTGAGCATGCTTGTGGCCACTTCCTTTGACTCGTCAGAGACTGGGGTTGCCTTACATGTTATCATGTTCCAAAGCCATGTGAGGGTACTGATGAATGTTGTAGGCTTGGAGAAGTATGAGTTGCTGAATGTCATGACATCGTCGAGAGATATTTTTCTTCCAAGCATGCCAATAAGCTCCAAGCGCAGCTCCAAGTCGCGAATAGAATAGAACCATTCCCACGCCGTGGTGAGAATATACATCTCAAGCAAGTATGGCAAGAAGGTGATCCACGAAGTCACGAGCCACTTGTTCTCCCACAAACTGGCGATCAAAATGGTGATGATGACATGAAGGCCAACCATAAACCAGGTGAAGATTGCTAAGGGAAGAAGCCTTTTGGAGTAGGAAACCTGCCTCGGACTGGAAGCTGTGCCGCGGAAGGTGTGATAGCCCAAAGTTACGCTGATCCAGATAATGAACAAGACCTTGAGAACGACGGTGAAGATAGCTCTGAATTCATTTTGCTTGTGAGCCATTCTGTCAAAGTAGCTCTTCGCCATTCCCAAATCGACTGCGTCGACTATAATGTACATTAGGATCAAGCACGCACCAATAAGGCCGTTGTAGAACTTGTATCGCTGCTTCGTCATTTTCACCACGAGCTGGAAGAACGCCAAACACGTAAGGAACTGTGAGATGATCAAGGCGATGGGGTATTTTCGCCTGTCGTTGACGAGCAGGAGAATGTGGATCATGTCGAGGGAGTCTTCGTAGTACTGCTTGCGGGCCGCTTGGGTCACCTGGGCCAAAAGAATGGTCAACACTATCGAATAGACACCCGTTGCAATTTGCGTCATGATAGGCTTGCGCTTGTGGTTGGGCGAAAGAAGGAAGAGCAATATGAGCATCCAGCACAGCACGCACAGGCCCAGGATCATGAACAAGAACGCAACAAAGGAGTCGCCGTTATCGGCGACATTATAAGGATTATTATTGTAGTCATCTAGCCAGCGCTCGACGTCGCTTTCGTTGAACAGGAGATGGGATAATTCCCGCTGAAGATTGGTGATAGAGCAGTTGGTGACATAGTACGCCGGTAGAAAGTCCAGCGTGATATTCTCCAGCCAGCGACCGGTAAAGTACTCTTCGTATCGTAGGGATCCCAGAGTCAAGGAGTAGACAGAGCAGTTCGTCTGGAGGTTGTCTTCGTTCAGAAGAAAGTACAACAGGTAGTTGCCCATGGCGAAGGTCTGCGAGGTATTGGAAAAGTCAACGGCATCTAGAAGGCCGTATCCGCCAGTGTAAAAATCGAGCCCTGCTCGATGTAGCACGGATGTCATGCTGTATTTATACTTCCCGGCGGGGCACGTATCTGTGGGGCTCTAACGAAGTAGTTTACAAGAGCCAAGCTCTGGCGATTTTCTTGGGTGCAGCGCACCGCATACCGGCCCCTGGGTGTGGTTAATGGAGAGCGCAACGGTCTGCTCTAGGCCCTTGTGGGGCGGCGGGAAGGAGCCAGAACTCTACGGAGGCTTAGAAGAAAGAAAAAGTGGATAAAAATGAGAAAAATAAGCGGGAATTCTGCTTCTACTTATACTGCTAAGGCGGTCGTGCCGCACCCACCCTATGCACCTCGGTCCATATACGGACCAGGCACCATCTGTGATTTCAGCTAGCCAGAGCATTGGATGGATAGAATTTGGTGATTTTATTTTCAATTTTTCTATTACAGTGAATTTGAGGAAACAACAATCGAGGCCGTGTTTTCTCCATATTTCCCCGTGTTTTTCGTCCTCTTATTGTCTTTCTTTCTGACCCTGCCGGACCGTTAGGCTTTGCAGCCTCGCAATGAACTAGGTCAATTTGCGTACCCTGCAGCCACACAAAGCACCGAAATGTAGCAGAAAGAATAACCGTACGTTCGGTACAGAATAGCTTAAACAATACTTTTTTAGAAGCTGTAGCTGTGTTTAGCGTTTTAAGGTTCTGACAGCTTTTCACCGCGTTACGGGCTTACAGCGGTTATGGACCATGAACCGTGAGTACAAGCGAGGATGGTGAGCCAATGGACTATATCGTACGACATCAGTAATTTCAATGGTTTCATTTTTTTGATTTGCAGCGTTGCTACTTTGCACCCGTCTAGGCCGATTCTGAGATCGGGAGCCTGGCGTGCTTGTTGGTTTTCTGTTGCTCTGAAGGTAAATCCGGGATTTTCAGGTTCCGGGCTCCAAATCCAAAGAGGCGTTTTGACAGCACGGACAAGGTTGTACTGGTGAGTGACAGAGCCCTGGTTGCATCAGGGTTTTTCTGCATATCGCCTTTTCGTAACCCCGTTGCTTGAATCAAGGACCCTGGTCTACTTTCAGCACGCAGTGCATGAATGTTCCAGATAGCAAGACCCCACAATAGTCCTGTTTTGTGGCACCGACAAGAAAAGCCCCCTATGAACGAGAAGCCCTTATGAACTAGGAGCAATGATGGAAGGTTACATAGTTGAGGCATTGAGAACCATTACAATGTGTTGTAGTTATCCTCCACTTGATCCATGAGTCACCAACACACTATATGATTTGAAAGTCGCTTTTCACAGCAGCCGAAAAGAAGCATATTTTAGATTTAACGCGAGGATGCTTCGGAAAATCTAGCCACAAAACCAAGTAGTTTTTGAAGAACATATTAACGATACTGGGGGCATGTGGTGCTTTTGGTGAACCAAAAGTGCAATAAAAATCCAGCTTCAGCCGAAACCGAATATTTCAAAACTGTCTCATTTTCAAGAAATCATCCAAAATGAAAGGTGGTGTTGATCTATCTCTCAACTCAGTGCTTCCACTAGCGCTGTGACTCTGGATAAGGATGTGCCCATTGCGTCCATGGACCCAAAATTCAGAAAAAATCGACTAAATCAAGAAGAAATATTCATACTCTATCAAGCCTTGAAATACTACCAAATCCAAAATTCTATATTTCGTTTACTGTAATCTACCCCAGTGCCATAGACCAAGTCGTACGCGCACCGTACTATCACCATACTACTGAGTACTCCGGATCCGAGACTCTCCAGCATGTCTACCACGGAAGAGCTCCAGAAACTCTTTAAAGATGGAAACGATATAACAGATGAAAACCTCAAACTTTTAAAGGACTTGCCCTTAAAAGAAAAAGCACGCCTAGTCGAGTACATCGCTGACTCCGCATCTCAGCGTCTTCCATGTCTCGAGAAACTCGGCACTGAAGGCGCTTCTTTCGTGCTGTCGGCCCTTCCTGACAAAGAGGCATCTACGAAAATACTCCACATTTGCCAACAGAAAATCAGATTCCAGCTGACGCCTCTCGTGGCAGGCTACTACCTTTCCATATACGCGAACATCACTTCCAAGTACGAGGTCAATGATCCTGGCTCTGTGCCGGCGGTGTTGGACCTACTAGCACTAGCTGACGACAAGCTTCATGCAATTGTCGTGTTTACGATCGTGAGTCAGTCGAAAAGAGAACCGTTATCCACTTCCCAGGCTATAGAGAGATACCTTACAGAGATCGTGGACCAGGACCCCTCCAGCATCACTCCTCCACAATACAGTCTGCTCTTTGAGACCATCCAAACGTTTTTTCCTCTTTTCCCAGAGCAGCTCAAGACAGTGTACACAAGCGAAGGATGCAAGAATGCCATACTCCACCAGGTCAGCCGGTTGACTTCTGGCTCCGGGGAGATTGATGCCGAAAAGGTCGCCAAAATGCTCAATGTGGTTTCTCTGACATGCATCAACGAGGCTGCAAGACTCTTTAATTCTCAGAACTACCTACAGTTCTTGATAACCGGGTCTGAGATGGAACTGGTGCCGTTAGTGGTATCGTTGTCTCTTCTATGCATCGTGAAGTTGTGGAATTTCAAACAGATCGAGTCACAGATTTCCCAAGCCACTGTTTTACATAAAACCATTGATCTCCTTAAAAAAGATGTCTCTGACGCTAGACCGGCAGTGCTAGAGACCTTGACTTACCTCTCTTTGAATGGAACCTGTCGGTCATCCATTTTCAAAGACGAAGATACCACTGAAAAACTTATCGAGATTCTTCAGAATGAGACCGACGGCACCAATACGTACGGAGTCCTTCTTGCCTTCGCAAACTTGACAAAAATCAAGGACATAGCAGACGACAATGAGCGTAGGAGAATGAAGTACGCTGCCTCCGCTGCAAACGCCAACAATCAGGACAACACTAAGGTGGACGAAAAAGACGTTAGGCTCTATAACCTGGCTTTAGTCAAAAGACTCAAGCTTGTGGGCATGTTCAAGAAGCTAGAATTGCTGAAAACCAACATCATGAAGGAGTGTGTGAGTATCATCTACAATCTATCGCAAGACCCTGAAAATGCTCTTCATAGAAGCCTCGTGCTGCAAGGGGGATTGAATTTGATCTTGAAGTACCTCACTTCATACTCTTCACTTGACAAAGAAGACGGGAAGACTCATGGGTTAACAAGCGACGAGAATGAACTTGAGCTTAGGATATCAGCTCTTCGTGCTTTAGCAAGCATGTGTCTGTCTGTTGATCCCAGGCTAGCATTCAATGAGTTTGATGTGAAAACAGCGGTTCCTTTCTTGACAGAACTCTTTGGAGTAGACCCGTCCTTTGGACCACCCACTGATAAGACTCCTACTACCATCATGGCCAGTCTATTATCACCAATGGACAAGTTCAAGGCGCTTTTGGCACTCACAAACATGTGCTCTCAGCCCAACAAGGAATTGAACAATTTCATTATCAAACGCACATTCGATCAACATTTGAGGAACCTCATGATCGAAAGCACCAACCCTGACATTCAGCGTGCTGCTTGGGAACTTATCAATAATCTAATTCAAGAGCCCGCAATGCTAGCCAATTTCTTCAATACCGAAAGTTCGGCCAGTATGACGAATTTGGAGATTCTTGTCAAAATGCTACATGCCAGAGACGAAAATCTACAAGAGGTCATTGCTGGATTGTTGGCAAACAGCACCATGGAGTTTGACCTTGTTGCTACAGTCATCTTAACTCAAAAGCCTATTTTTGATCAATTAAGGGCCATAGCTGCCGATGTATTTCAAAAGCAGCTGGATGCAAGCGGGTTAATGCTAAGATTGGGTACTTTTGTCGGAAATGTGATGGACGTCGCAGAGAGCAGCGGTAACGATGTCTTGAAAAAGGATAAGCAATTACTCCTTGGCTTCAAAACAGTGATCCAGTCCACAAACATCCCTGAGGTGTTTGAACTTTTCACCGAGCTCACAAAAATGGCGGTGCAATAAAATAATTAGAAATGAAGCATTCTTTGCGTAAACGATGTGGCATCATGGACAGGGTTCACTGGCGTTTTGTAGGAGCCTCTTTCCGTGTCAACCTTGGCGGTCACTGCCTTGTGCAAGGATGTCAAGAACGTTGCATAGTTAGCAGATGTACTGGCAATTTTTGAAGAAAGCAGGTCTTCGATGAGAGTGTCGTGGAATACTTTACTAAGCGGCTCCACACCCTCGATAACAATCTGAACTGACGACTGACCGATGCTGGATGTTCCAATGATGTTTTTCTGGAAGTACTTGACCAAATTGCGAGCCTGTAACGAGATGTGAGTAGGCATCTCTGGCAAGGAGTCCATGTTGATGTCAATGTCCTCAACCTGATGAACATGCTCTCCAAACAAGTCAGCCAAAAGCTGTTTGTTTGTATCAGGATGGACCCTTACGAAAACTGTTGTGCCATCACAAAGGATGTAGACACTAGGCTGCAAGGAATGTGCTGTCAAAGGCAAGTACTCCGGCACTTTCATGAATGATTCTTCAGTATTCTCCATCGGCATACATTCGTCATCTGCCAAAGAATGCAACTCCACCAAGGCAGGATACAAGTGATAAACAAGTCTCTCCAAAGGCATATTGAGCATATTGTACACATCAGCAAGACGGTCATCAATAGGCACCGCTGTGGAGTCACGGAGTGCTTTGGATTTCGTGAGAGCCATAATAAATAGGGGGATATGTCTCAATGAGTCTGGGAAAATGAGTTGGTTGGTGAGCGAGCGAGTTTTATTGTGTCCACGTTCCTCCATCAATCTGTACTGGGCATAAACGTCCACAAGTTTAGCATTGATAGACGTTCTCAACTCAGCAATCAGCTCTTTGCCCACAAACGAAAGAGTGTCTCTGACGAGCGCTGCAATAATAGCATCCTGATCAACAAAGTAGAAAATCTCTTCAAGACGCTCACTCACGGCACACACGAGATTGATCACACGGACTTTTCTAACACCGAATGTGTCTGTGTAAAGCAAGGCGGCTTGAAGATGACAGTCGTACTTTGTGTTCAATTTTCCATCGTACTCAAGCAAGACAGTGAAGGTCTGGTCCTCGTTGAGAACTGGGATTACAGGATCCTGATTGCCTGTGAGACCAATGATTCCGCCTTCTGTGGTTGGGAAGCCGTAGTACTGAGATACTTGGAGACCATTGGAACAACGAAGTTTCAACTGGCCCTGGTAACCCGTGGAAGATTTGACAGAGTTCACAATCTGAGCCGTAAGCGCACGGCTATCTCTATCAAAAACGAAATCAGTCCATTTGTGAACCTTTCCACCGGTGACAGAAGCTAGCCATCCGATATTGGAGACGTCAACTGGGGTAGCGGAAACCGCCAAAACGTCCAAACCAACGTTTTGAGCAATCATGTCCTTTGCCAAGAGCTTGTAGTACTCGTTATCGACAGAGTATAATTTTTTCTCCATCTCAGCAGAGGGGTTTCTTCCCACAGATTTGTTCTGTTTCAATCTTGAGCCGCCGGGTCCCCAAGAAGGTAGCGTAGACACAATAGCTGTAATCTTACCACCACCCACACTTTCAAGGCACATGGTAGCGGCTCTACAGGCGACCGAAAAGCAGGGCTCAGAATCATGAAGGCTCTTGGTATCCGCCAAACTCTCCAAATTTCTGAGGGCATCTTCAATCACCATACTGCTTTCGTCTGGGTCGGCGAAAAGACCATCGTAGAAGGGAACGAAAGGATCATCCAAGTCGGGAGAAACGCAAATTTGCGTGGAATCCAAGTCGGGAGACAAGTTGAAGAAATGCACTGCTTTGTCGAACAAAATAATGGCGAATTTTTGTGGTCTCTTCTCGCCGTTATTCTCCCTCTCATAGTCAAAGAGCGTTGCACGAATGGCGTCCGCTACCAAGACATTAAGGCTCTTGCTGATACTCTGCTGACACACATCAACCAAGAATACGTGGTGCATTGGTTTGGGCGTATTTTCAGCACCTCCGACATTGTAAAAGTCAGGCACAATGATGTCGTAGACACCTCTGTGGAGCTCAGGTCTCTGGGCCCTGTCGGTTCTGTTTTCATATTGGTCAGTTGGCGAGATGTACTCCTGAGGCACTGAGTTGTTTGGGAACTGACACACGTTACATGTGAACCTTCCCAGAAACGTATGCACCATCTGTGGGTTGATGTAGGTTCTACAACGGCGGCATCTTGGAGGACCCCATTCCTGAGGATCCAAAAGCAGCTGTTCGCCCAAACGTGACATATCCACAGTAGGAACGGGGCTTTCATTGGGTAGCAAAGGTGCAAAAGGGCGAATGGTGACCGCCATGGGTAGTCTGGTAGCTTTACGCATCAGCTCTTGCTCAGGAACATAGTAGAATGTAGGTCTCATGTGCTTTGGGGTGGCGGTGCTCTGGTCGACGGCAAAGTACTGGGTTCCGGCGAAAGGAGGCACGATGTTTTCAAAAGAAAGAAACGGTTTCGTGCCAATGCACTCACCAGCCTCATCGTAGAGCAATGTGGTATATTCGGTTTCCTGTTCGTACCGAGCCTTGCCTAGCGAAAGGTCCGAGGATGCTGGCGGGGCATGCGGAGTCCCCAGAATGTCGAAACTGGTATCGTGAACAGGCTCCTGTGGGACCTGAGGAGGTCTCTGGCTTTGAAACCCTGGATGGCCATGTGGAGCCGGGATGTCCTGGTATCCTGGGTACGGCTGGGCCTGAGGAGCAAATTGGGTTGCCTGTTGCTGCTGGAAAGCTTCCGTCTGAGGTGCAAAGCCCGGCTGACCGGGAAACTGTTGCTGGGGTTGAGCTGGATTAGCCGATTGGGACCAAGTGGAGGCCTGCTGGTTCAAGTCATGGTAGGCTCTTTGGGGTTTCTTTTTTCTTTTTCCGTCGATGTTCAAGTTCTGGACGCCCTGGGCGAGATCGTTGGAAGCCATCGGCCGAGCGAAGAGCTGAGCTGTCGTATTGTTCTATGCGGTTGACGTTTTGATCCAATATTTTTCCAGCGCGCCCGAGACCGATACTCGTGGATCAAGAGATGGAGGATGGGAAAATAAATAAAAAAAGGGACGAACTGAAGAGGGTCAGAATGATTTGAAAATTGAGGTTGAAGATTGAATCGTTTAAGTAAAGGGGGTTTGTGGTAGGGTGCAGCCTAGAATTGGGGTGCTTGGCTGTGTACGCCTGTGATATCGGGATATGGCTCGATCGGCCCGAGAGGTGATTTGCAGAAAGAAGTTCAATTTGGAGTTTTTCTTGGATTTGACGAATTTTGAAACCAGGGCATTGACAATTACTACAATTTTTGCTTTTTCGTCTAAGTAGGTGTAGAGAAGGCACTCTTTAGGTGGCTCTTTTCGCAGCCAAATACGTAGAGGCATGCAATCAGCACTACGATGGTAGTGGAATTCACATAGTAAAACGTTTGTCATAGCGTGTCCTGTTCAAAAGCAATGTCTTGAGGACATGACAAGGGGAATTAACTTGGGGAAGTAGCCCTGGCTTGTTGCTTCCTGATTCTTAAGCGTCTGCGTGGTAAAGTACACTGACAAGGTGCAAAGGATTACCAATTCAGCCTTTCCATTCAATTCTTTAGGTTTCCAGAAGGCTGTAGAACGAGTAGTTTACTCATATTATTTATCTATCACTGCTTTTCAAATAATATCAAGCAGCTAGTAGTTGGACCTTCCGAATCCTCTACAATTATACTACCCCGGCAGGACATAAGAGGAAACTAATGCAACACCTAGACGGAAGACATGACCAACTACTGCAAAAACTAGTAAGTATTACCAGAGCCGTGCTATTCATACCACAATTGATATTTAATTTCCTAAAAGCTACCCCGTGGTGACCTTTACCGTCACGACTCTGGCAAACCGCCCAGGATTTGGAACATAAATAGAGGCCCATTTCCCCCAGATTTTTTTCGTTCTTCATCACTTTTCTTCCCCATCCTCCCCTTCGACGGCTGCCTCCCAATTGACTTCCCCAGATATTGGTATGCAGCTAGAGAAGGAAGGGACCCTCAAGCAACTGAAGACACTCCTCAGTTACAAGGTATGTTGGACCAAGAAAAGCCGACAAGTGAAACTATCAAAGGATGTTCCCATCTTCCCCTGGGACTCCATTCTTCCCTACCGTTCAACAACTTCCCCCTCTGTTGAACAGTTTCACAAAGGCGTACTACTGTTCCTAATCTTCCCCATATACTAACACCATACTGACGCTTAAACGAAAGGGCCTTTCTCCCCAAGGACCTTTCAGCACAATACCTCCTTCAAATTCCCTTGATGGTTGTTTTTGTGAACCTATTCCAGTGGCACTCTGGGACACTTCCCCGTTGGAACTTCCCCAATGGACAATCCAATACTTCCCCATTGGTGAGTCCATTTCCAGCTGTTGCAGATGTCACGCTTCCCCAATGGGTTTCAAAAAGAATCTACAAGGCAATTCACGAGGACGGTTCAATCACTTTCTGAAGGCAGAGAGTGAGACAGTTTGAAGATGGGAGTCCCCCTCGTCTTCATTCTATTCAAGCAAGCAGTTTAATTGCATTATTGCAACATCCAACGAAGTCTTCCCCACTTCGGGCGGGTGAGATTGCTAAGTCTTGAAGCTTTACCGGTCCAGTGTTTCATCCCCAAGTATCGAATTTCCCCAAACTTCCCCAATGTCCAAAAATCCCAAGGGTCGAAAATCCGAGAAGTCGTCCCAAGAAAGCCATCCAAAAAATCCCCAAATCCCATAACTTCCCAAGAATCCTTTCCAAAAAATCCCCCAATTGAACTTCCCAAGAATCCTTCCCAAAAATGACTTCCCCAGGTCATACGAAAAACTAATGCATACACTAACCCAATCCAAAGAAGTATCCACCTTTACTAACCCAACAGCAAATTCGAGATGAAAACTAACTTGCGACCACAAGGTACCTAGTCACAATTTGGACTGGCCTTCTACTGAGTTCGGCGGCATTATCGTCTAATTTTTGGAACTTTTTCCTCCGGACCACGGTCAGCTATTCAGGCGGCCGTGAAAGGATTGTGCTAAAGGAAGTTTGAGAGATGCCGACTTGTCACCTTCATGTTTTCCAGGAAGAAAACTCCCTTTAGCCTTTCTATTGGCTCACTGTCGGGCTTCTGGGGAACTGGAAAGTTTTATTTCATTACTTTTTGGTTCTTCAGAATGAGCAGTCCACAATCAAACCGACATTTGGTAAGTATATATTTTTTTTTCTCGGGAGGCTTTTCATGAAGTCGGCTCCAAGAAGTCGGCTCTCGAAGTCGGCTTCATGAAGTCCCCCCTTGATGGAAGTTGAGGTGAAGAAGAGGCAACGGATTATCGAGAAACATTTAAAGAGAAGGCATGCAGTGGCTGCAATACCTCCTCTTGTTGTTTGTCCTTTTTCCGTTTCCCCTTTTCATCTCACCTTCTTTCAGGTGCATAGCTATGTGACATCAAGAGGTCAACTCAGCTTTTCCAATGCTGGGTTGATTAGGTCTCTTGCTGTCACATAGACGTGTAATTCGGTAAAATTTTTATATAATCTATAGAGATATAGTCTTTTACTCTAATAAAGAGATATCAGTTAAAAAAAAAAAAATATAATCAACGGGACTCGTTCCCAGGGTTGGTTTCATGATAGATAAGCATTATTTTTTGATAACACCCAAAAAGTTAAAATAGCGATTCGTGCCGCATGTAGCATCAGTGCTTTGTGCGTATTAAGCATGATTATGCAAAAAAACGTCAAGCTCCCTTCGCTGGCTTCTATATTTATCATGAACTTATGCACATGGAGTAATATCGAAACTTCTCCAGTGACACACAGAACATACATTCGTATGGCTCCCACTATAAAATGATCAAAATTAACCATATTTCTTTTAATTCAATCAATTAAAAATGCAATTGTCTTCTCTTGTCCTTTTTGCTTCCTCGCTATCGCTGCTAAAACCTTTAACCTCAAGATTGTCTCAGATAACTCTGAGCTCAACGGTAAGGGAATCCAAGGTCTTCACGAAGGCGGTGGTTTTGGCTACTTTGGCGTGTCCGACAATCTTGGCCAGGAATTCAATTATGATGCTGACAAGAAGGTGCTTTTCCAAAATGAGAATTCCTTTCCAGCCAATGTCGGTTTCATGTTGGCTGAAATCTACGGGGATTTCCTTGCTGTTGGACTTTCAGTGACTCCAAGTGATGTTACTTTTGATGCAGATGGCAGCTTCAACATTGGAAAGCAGCTCTATGCTTGTAAGCGGCTCAATGACCCTTACCACTACTTCACTGACGAGTATGGTATTGTTGCAGGCGATGCACCCAATGACAGTTGTGTCAAGATAGCACTTCAGAAAGTTGGCGACGGACCTTCCTGTGCCATTTAGTATAGTAATTGAGGAACTCATCTTAAATGCTACATCGTAAGTTTTACTCAGAAATTTGATTGGAGTTTCTAATCATAAAATTCACTGGATAATTCCAACGTGCCTGAGTACCCTTCATTGTGCCTGGATCCACAATGTTGGTGTTGATGATGATTGATTACAGCGCAACCTAGCACACAAGGGAATGCAACCTAGCACACAAGAGAATGGATGACCATTGCACGAGTAACACAATAATAATCACTACAATTTTCTCTCCTTTGGCCTCCTCTTTCCTCTTCCAAAAACTGCCCCTTTTCACCAGACTCTTCCTTCCATTTAGGTCTGCTGGACTTTCCACACCAAGAAACCCATGAATGACAACACCATGTGGATGACCACAACCCCAGCTCAGAGGCAGGATTACAGCTCCAGAAGAACATAAATAGAGGCCCTTTCTCCCTCCCTTTTTCTTTCTTCATCACCACATTCAAACATATTAGCTACTACAGAGATGAACGCCTACTACAACTTTTTCAGTGCTACAGCTTCCCTTGCCTCCAAGGCCATTACCAAGTCTTTCACAGGCTTCGTTTACACTGCCGCCCATGCCGCAGAATTCATCGAGGACTTCTCCCAAGTGAACTCGATTGTCAGCGATGCTGTGACCGAAACTCTTGAAGTGCCCGGTACTTTCCACGAGTACGACTTCCCCGAAACCATTTCCCCATCTTCCCCAGAACCCCTCCTCGTGATGCCCGGTTCGTATCTCCCCGAGGAAGAGGAATCGATTACCAATCGTCGCAGAAGCCTCAAGGCTACCAGCGACTGGCAAACCATTGAGCTTCGTAAGAGCCCAAAGAGAGCTTCCCCCTCTCCGCTGCCGGTTCCAATTCCTGCTCCAACCCTCAAGCCGAAGTTTCAGCTGTTTAGAAAACGCATGAAGCACAATAACGGCGGGTTCAGAGAGCCTTCTCAAGACATGAATAAGGTCTTGACCCTGGGAAACATGTTCCTTGTTCTCCAGGAGTGCTGATGCCCTGTGGGCTCCGCTTCCCCCAAGAAAAAAATTTATAAAAGTAAGAAAAAAATAAATATAATTGGAAATGAGTCGTAGAGAAGGGTGGGTGTGATGGTGACCATCGTTCACAAGAGGAAGGTCTTACATATGAGAATGGCAGGCCCAGTGGGGCAGTGAAGTGGTTCACGTGGATTTTTTACTGTTTCCTGGATCAGTGTACTGCTACGTCTGGGACAGTTATTTCACTGCCTTGTTACCTCGTAGTTGGTCTACTTTACAAGGTATCTATTGCAGAAGACAATTTGAAACAAGGGCTAATGTAGCCCACACCGATTCATCTTCAAAGAGTAAATATGATATACAATCTATGCCAAGCTGCTCTAATGGCTACACAATACAACTCTGATTATACAGCATTACTTCTGTTATGGTAGTGAGGTCATAGGTAGCATGAGTTTACCTTCGTCAAGCATTGGATGGCATATCTTTAGGTTTCTCTATTCGTAGTTTTAGAAACTTCAAGACAAGTGCTATAAGCCTCTCTGCTTGCTCCGTCTTCGGCTTCTGGTGCTCAATTTGCACCCAACGGCACATCGGTTTAAAGAGACATTTTGTTTTAAGATATATTTGAGCCATAGCAGGTGAGTGATATTATTGTTCCAAAGAAAAGATTCAGCCGTAGATTATTGAAAAAGACACTGAGCCGCTTCATTTTTGCCCCTCGGGACCCAAAAACATCAAATTCGTCCCAATATCAATAAAAAACCTAATACCCCAAAACCACCCTACGCTGCAAAGTCGCTTCCAAAGGTTGCGTCGATCCTAGCTCGCTTCAGCAAGGTATGCACACAAAATGTACCACCAAAAGAGCCGAAACAACAATTCCTTTACCCTAAATCCTCCCCCAATTACCCCTGATTGCTACTTTTCCCGTTTGTCAAAACCACCCGACAATGCCTCGGTCGAAGCTTAACTGCCCATTCTTCTCGCATTTCTAGAAGCCAAGAACAGCCAAGCCGCTAAGCCTACGCCCGCTGAGAGAAACCTGTATTTTTTTTCACCCAGCCGATTGGTTCATTCGAAAACCCGAGCGCTAAAAAGCTATATCGAGTAGTTTTACCCAAAAATCCACTCCCTTTCTGCTTTTTTCATCTTCATCCTTATTTTGCAACCGCGGACAGCCACGCTCAAGCCGCCAAAAACACGAGCTCATGCATCGCGTGCGGCACACTAGCAACGATAAACACTACCCCATTTGCCCACCAGCAGCCTCGCACAAGGTCAGCTCGGCCCCATTTGGGCCTCCAAAAGCTTAATTTTCAAAACCCAAAAACCCTTTTCTTCAAAATTGCCAAAAATGGGGTAAACGGCAGGTCTGGGGGGCGCGGCACGTGATCTAAGCCTCGTGGCGCGCCTCAAAGCCTGCCCTTGTTATTTGATCCGAGCCCTGAATCAACTACTTCTTTCTTGAAGGCCTTCGCTACACATCATGTTCTTTTTATACCTTCTTGCAGTGGCATTTGCTGCCGATGCAGGCGTGGCTCCCATCAACGGGGGCGGCTTCACCACAACCACAAATACCGCTAACTTGGCCGGAATGCAACTTGAAACCACCACAAATACCCCTACCACTGCTGCTGCTGCTGTTGGTGCTAATACTGACACCACAGGCACGGGCACTGGAACTACAACTCCGGCTGCTGCTGCCGCCAACACCGCCACGACCGGCACCGGTACGGCCACCACCACGGGAACTGGCACTACTGCCACCGGAACCACCGCAACCACCCCTGCGGCCGCTGCTGCTACTACAGCCACTGGCACGGGAACCACCACCACAGGTACCGGAACCGCCACGGCCACAACTGGCACCGCCACGGGCACCGTCAACACCGCTACCATGAACGCTTCCCAGTTGTCCATCTACAAGCAAACTCTGTCCATGAACGCCGATGAACTCATCGCCTGGTCTGCTACACACACAAATGCCGCTACAGGCACTACCACCGGTACCACTACTGCCGCTGCTGCCGCGGACACCGCTGCTGCTGACACCGCTCCAGCCGGATACACTGGCTCCATCGCTGCCACCCAGATCGCCCCTCCCCTGACGCTCTCCTACGTGACAACGATGAAAAGCCACTCTGCTCCTCAGACCCAGGCTGCTGCCGCTACTCCAGCGTCCGATGGCTCTGAAAGCTCCGGTTCGCTGTCGTACGCCGCAGGTGGTGCCAGAAACGGTCTTGCTGTCCCCGGCCTTCTCTCCGGTCTCGCAGCCATTGCCCTCGCTTTGTAAACAATTTTCTTTTAAAGTCTAAATATACGTTCGGTTTGGTGTAACTGTTTGATTTTCCTGCACAGAACTCCTCCGATACTACTTCTGCTCGCTTCAAGCATATCTTCAACCCCATGATGTTTCTTCATAGAGTGAGGGTCCCAACCCTTCGAGGACTTCATTCTTCCGCCCGAATCCTCAATAATCCCTTTTTATATCCTGCATCGTTCACAGATCTCACCACAAAGATAAATCAGCATTTGGACAAGGCTCCTACTGAAAAGACCGTTCTTGATGCCTTGAAGGCATGCAGAGATTTCCGTCTGGAGGTGCACGACAGCGACAAATTCGAAACCAACCCTATATTCAAAAAGCTTTCAGAAGAAGTCAAGCAAATCTTGCTTAATGAGAATGTCAAGTTTGACAATGACCTATTGAAAAAAGTGCTCCTCTTGAAGCTCCCACCAACTTGGGCAACACAGATTATTCTGACATTCTACGAAAGAAACCCAAAAGCTGTGATTGACAAGAAAACGGCGCTAATTCCATTCCGTCATAGTTTGCTTGACGGCGACCTTCAAAATGCATTGAAAATCACTGACATCACCACTGGCCACCCTAATTACATTGCCCAAAAAGATAGTGAGATGCGTCGTGGTATCTACAAACTTGCAGCCACGGCGATCGGAATCACGTTTTTCTCCAAGTACGGTGTCAATCTAGTGATCGACTGGGGTTGGCTCTCGCCTACATGGAAACACTTGGGTTCGATAAATGCCATGATCTTGACCTATATATTGAACTCGAGTTTCTTCGTCACCATTGTGCGTTTTGGCCGCCAAAAGAGTGCCGCCGGAGGCGACTTCTTGACCTGGCAAAAGGGCACCTTCTACACTCACTGGTATAAGCATGCAGACGAGATGAACATGTGCGCCAAGGTGATGCAGGCAGACTTGTGGCTCAATGGAGGACTTGAAAACTCACCACCGTTGGTGGAGGAGTTATGCAGAAAGGACGACTCGCTAGATACGGGCAAAAACCCGGTCGCCAAGTATAATAGGGAAGGAAAGAAGGTGCGCTTGCTCGAGCCCAAGGACAACATGGAGGACTTGAAGATGCAAGCGTACTGGATGAGTGGAGGCGATGGCTTTGAGTGGGTGGAGCCAGACCAGGATCCAGCAGACATCATTTGGAGAGAGCACTTGAAGAAGCTTCATGCTCCTGAATTGAATGGATCCAACCAGAAGTCGCTCAAGTGGGCCGAGGAGCTCATTGAGCCTTCCCAACAAGTGTAAATAGAATGACTAATGATAAGAGTCTCTCATGTAGCTGCGAGGAATGGTTCTCAGCTCTCTGATGATCTCCTGTGACAACTCCCACCATGGATCACATTGGGTCCACACTTTGGCGAAGTAGTCATCGCTGGCGAGCCAGTGGTTTTTCGTGAGCGACGCAGGGAAATTGATCACCTCAGTTCTACGAGGCAGCTCGTACTCGTAACCTTCCTCAGCGAGCGCTTTCTCCTCTGCAATCTCTCTTTCGAGCCTTTTATCTTCTCTTTCGGCTTTGTTGAGCTCTGTGACATTCTTGAAATCTTTGCCCAACTGTCTTGCCTGGATCTCCTCGTTGCGGGTCCTCATTTCCTCGTAAATACCCACAAAGTCGTTCCAGTTAGGCAATTCGTAACGGACGCCAATGCCGTCTCCTCTATCGGACATGTAGACGCCTGGTGTTGGTCTCTGAGCAACTCTTCTGGCCAAACGCATGTTCAGCACCCTTTTGTTAAGAAGGGCCATCCAGTAGTCCTTGGACATAGGCTCGTACCATTGAATGGCACCAAACCACCATCCTGGATTGTCACCGTTTCTGATGGCCCATTCACGCCACTCGCGGGCCTCCTCGTACCAAGGGTCGTACGAAATGCCGCATCGCATACCCTCAATGGCAGATGCTGTGAACATTAGCAGACCAATGGCCTTTCTAGAAAGCAGATAGATACGGCTCATGACAGGCAGCTCACCGAAGCGAGGAACACGGCGACACATCAATGAAAGTCCAAACAACGCATTGAGAGTGATGACAGAAGCAACAGCTACAGTATTGTCTGCAGCTGGCATGATTGGTCTCAAATGCGGAAGTAACATATTTGGGTTTGTAGGAAACAAGTCCTGGAGAGTGAGATCCTCCTCATCGTTCTCGTCAGTAGCAACTTTAGAGACACCACGGCCAGATTCGTCCATGCCACGCGGAAGCGCTGGTGATTCAGGAACTCTTAAATTCACATGATGCTCTTGTTCTTGTTGTCTTGAAGTATTTAGAAAACCTGGATTGAGCTGAGCTCGGATCCAAGAGCTTAGCATGACAGAGTGGTTTTATATGTATGCGTATGACAATGCAAAAGACGTGGGTATCAGCAGCCTGGAATGAGGCAGGGACTTCGTGGAAGATGATCGACCGTTAAGCCAAAAGTGTTGATACTTGGGAGCCTATATGCAGGAGTTCCAAAATGGCGTTACTTTCAAACATGATGGGAGCCGTCTTAAACTATATTTTTATAATCATATAAAAAGCCGGGCGTCAATTGGCTCTGTTGAATTTTTTGGCGAATTATCAAGGTGTATCGAGTGCTGTGTCAAGCTCACCAGGGGATCGCACGAAGAAATCGTCTTGTGACCAAACTTTGATTATACCGATTGTGATATTTTACTATAATCAAGCAAAATTGGGCTAGAATATCACCACTATTCTAAATTGACCAGGGATCAGCGTCGTTTTCCGAAAAGCAATAGGTGCTCCACCATTGGCTAGATTGAATTGCTAACAATGGCAGTCTCCTGGCAATTTCTCTTCCAACAAATAATTCAACTGAAAGCCTCAGTGACGTTGCGTCTACATCTACAAGTGGGCAATCCGCCCCGTAGGTCTCGAATAGATCTTTTTTTATCTATTGCACAATGCTAATTAGCGGAACCATGCCCGCTCCAAAGTCAGTCTAGAGATGTTTCATGGTCCTGCGCTCTTAAGCCTCGTCGGCGTACAACTCCTCCTTCAAATCAATGCCCAACTCCTGTCTGGTCTCCTTCAACTCATCCAAGTAAGCCTGGTACTGCTCCTTGTTCTCGACCTTGTGCTTCAAAGCCTCAAAGGTTCTGACGGCGGTGGGGTAGTCGTTGACTCTTCTGCAAGCCTCAAGAGCCTTTTGGATCACAGAGGGGGCTGGAACCAAATCGTATGAGAAAGAGTTGTTCAACACTCTCTGGACCTCGAACAAGTCGTAAGCCTCCTCGAACTCCTTTTCGTATCTGTCGGTTAGTAAGCTGTGTATATTATGCTTTGGTTTGGGAAAAGACGGGCGTCTTGATGGGCCTAGTTGTATCTTTGATGCGATGGTATCTAGGTGTTGTGGTGGCCACATTTGACAGAATTGACCAAACACCGGGAATGCCAAATCCACCAATAACAAACTAAACCCTCCAATATCTGGAATCAACATACCTGGCGGTGAACTCCTCAAAGGTCTCTTCGTGGTGCTCAGAGTACATTCTCACAGAGGTCATCTTGATGGGGCTCATGGAGACGGAAGGTCTGACGGTTCTGGCGACCGAGCGAGGGACATTAGCTCTGACGGCGGAACGAAGCACGGAAGAAAACATTATTTTTTCTGGGTTTTGGCAACTGGTGGGTAGGAACCTTTTAAATTATAGGTTTAATTTTGTTCGCCTGAAAATCGTACCACGGGCGTGCACAGCACACTTTTTGGAGCGGTGGTCAGTTGATTTCCCGGCCCGGCGGCTTAATTGAAATTTTTGGCGCCTCCTGCCTATTCGGGAAATGTCACACTGGGACCTTTCTACAAAATGGCTCTTTTTTTGTCTTGTTTACTACCTACTTGTGGACCCCAGCAACTTGCAGCCAATAGAAAGTTGGCAATTCTTGTGCGACGTGCATCTTCGCGAGCCTGAGTGTGTGGAATTGGTGGTGTTCGCTGGTGTACGGGTGTATGCGCCTAATGGGTCGATAGGTGTACGGGTTCTCCAATCCACATTTTTTTGCACCCAATTTCATGCATGCCTACAAGTGTGCATCAACAAACCAATATAACTATAAATACTATCCTTTAAATTAATCGTCTACCGCCTGCGGTTGGAGGGTTTCTTGAGCGGCTTGCGTCTGCGCACAGCCTTGCGCAGCGTGTGGGGCTGGTTGAGGTTGATGGGCTTCCACACCGGGAGTCTCTTCACGTCCACCTTCATCTTCTGCTGCTCCTGCTCTCCTAATTTGATCTTTAGCGTCACCCAGCTCTTGGGCCCGCTGGCATTCACTTTGAGCGAATTCGACAGCTCCCGGATAAACATGTACCCGTGAGTGTTTCTCTTGTAGAATGTAGAGCAGAAGTCCTCAGGGTAGTCCTTCAACGAGCAGCTGTCGAGGACGTAGCGGCTGCATTCCTTGGCCAATGGGGCGTAAGGGCTGATCTTTGAGGAAATAGCCGGCACAGGTTCCTTTTCCAAGGGGCCAAAGTTGACCACAACGTTGGAGAGTGCAGGCTTCTTTCTCTTGGTGTCGTTCTTGACGCTCCCGTCCAGAGACTTTCTGCTTGCTGGTCTCTTCTCCGCTTCACGAGGCGTCTCACGAGCCTCAATGGGCACAAACGGCGGACTGTGGAGCTTCTCGGCGTAGAAGTTTCTGTTTTCCTTTCTTCTGTCAAACTCCAATGGAGGGTCAAAGGGGCCCACGGCGGAAGAATAGCGCAGCCTTGACGAAGCAGCCATAGAAAGAGGAGCCGCAGGTGGGCTGATGTTGATATGGCTGCTTGGTTTGTGGCTGTAGTGAGTCTGTCCATAACCAGCATTGTGGTTATGATAAGAAGGCTGCAAGGACCCCTGGGAGCTGGTGCTCCAGATCGACGAGCGGCTCAATGGCATCTCCACGTCCTTGAAAGGGTCCAGGAGACGCTGGTTGAAAACACCGTGCATCAGCTGGTCCAACTGGAGATTGTTCATCAGCTGGTTGAGCCTGTTGACATCCATGGCGGAGACATTGCCCAGCAGCGAAAAGGAGCTCCTGTTGCCCAATGGGCTTGGATCCCGGAAAGTGTATTCCCGGTTGACCTGGTCCCGTGCAAAGTGGTCTCTTATGAAATCACGGTTGCGAAGATTGAGATCAGGCAACTCCTTGGGAGCCACCGAGGAACGAGGCGTGACTGTGGTGGACGTGGGAGCGGTAAACGAGCCATTGTACGGCGTATCTAGCAAATTAGACGAGAAACGGACATTGGGCAGAACAAGCGGCTCCTGAGGCTGCCTAGTCTCAAACCCACATCCGGGTGTCATCAGGCCATACGAATTGTTGAATTTTTCAAAACCTGGTGTTTTTTGAAGACCGGCGTGGAACATCTCGTTGGCGTAAAAGTCGTCGCCAAGACCGGGATTCCCGTAGTTGGTGTGGGTGTTGTAGTCGTAGCCGAGATGGCCCATATGATCCGAGGCCGGGAAGAAGTTGGACTGTCGTCTCCCGTCCACGGCGAAGGAGGAGGCAGAGAACATTGCCGCCGCTTTTTGGAAAAAAAAAATTAAACTTTTTTTTTTTGTTTTTGTTGGTTTTCCTTTTTTTTGTGTGTGCCAGGGTTCTCGTGCCTTATATACTCTGGCAAGCCAAGGCCTGGAACGAGAAGTGGTTAGACAGGAGGTAGGAAAAACGGCAGGGCAGGCTTGGGCTCGGAATGTGAAGAAATATAAAACCGACCGTGGAGACGTGGAAAATTGGTAAAGAGAAAGAAAAAAAATGTGTTTCCGGGCCTCTCTTATATCCTGAATCTGGGGTCACAGGGGACAAAAGCCAGGGCCAGGATATTGTGGTTATGATGGGTGCCAGGGTTCAGGCAGGCTGCTGCCGTTTTTTTCCTGCGAGGCTCGTTTTCCCGGGCGGTGCCGTCACCCGATGGGTAAGTATGGTGATTTTTGGAAAAGTATAAAAGGGGTAAATTCGCCCTGGGATTTTTACTTTCTACTTTTTTTCTTCTTCTCTACGGCCTCCAAGGCCTTGTTGCCGGGTGGTCAGATGGGTGCAACTGGTGGTTCCTGCAGGACAGCCCACAGTGCGAATGTGCCTGCTCTGGGTGCAAAATGGGCCAAACGTATGCGAAGGCCACTAGCCGAGACCGATCTGGCGACACATCACGTGATGCATCCATTGTACGCTTTATCTAGCTTCAAAAGACGTACCCTGCTTGCTCATGCGTCCGTGACGCAGCACGCCAGACATGGCAAGTCGTAACCACCATTGGTCGTGCGCGGCACAATTCCTCAGGTGCGATTTGTCAGAAACGTCTCTGTCTTACATAACACAGTGCATTTCACATTTGCAACCACTGCGCTCATGAACCCTCCCTACTGGAAAGACTCCGAAGACATCGACACCGGGTTCCGGGCGCTGGCCACCGACCACGCCTTCCGCTCGTCCGAAAACGACTTTGTCGTTTCCCATGTCCCCGCCCAGCCCCAGAACTCCCTGGGTTCTCCCCAACCACCGGCTCACGTTACAGCGTCCACAAGCCAGCATGCAGCGTCTCCCACGGTGCATTCCACCGTTTCTGTAAATGCGCTCAATTCCCAGTTGAATCCTTCCCGGCTTTCCGAAAACAGTCCTATCGAAGGCACCTCTGAGGACGGCGTGGATGAGTCGCTTACTGGCACAAGAAAGAAGGTGTCGAGTACAAAAAGAGCAGTGCAGAACAGGAACGCCCAGCGGGCCTTCCGACAGAGAAGAGAGAAGTACTTGAAAGAGTTGGAGGCCCGGGTGGGCGAGATGCTGCAGTTGCACAAGAAGATTGATGATTTGCAGCGGGAGAACCGGGAGCTTCGAGACTACACCATGGCGCTCCAGAGCGAGTTGTTGAAGTTGACCCACAATGTGAACTCCGACCACAAGGGGTAGCGTTAGGTGATTTAATTGCATATTGGGGGATTTGCTGGGGGCCGTTGGGGAGCCGTTGGGACTGTTTGTCACTCAAGTCTACGGACCAAGGACTTAGCACCTCTTACATGAAAACACGGTACTTTCAAAACAACGGGAGATTCGCCATGGACAAAAAGCTTAAGCTCGGCAGCGGCAGCGGCAATGGCCCGTCTACAATAATTGCTCATATAATGATTATTGTGTCGCCGTGGCTGCTCATACCAGGGTGATCTCGGCATTCTCTAGAAATGCGGCGCTACTCAATCGCCAAACCTCACCAAACCAAACGCCAAAGACCGAGTCGCCACAACATGACCTTCCCCTCCACAGCGACCCGTCAAAACGAAAAGCTTCCCCAGAACCTTCGGCACCGCAGCTGCACCGAAGCCGTCGGGGCCGCAAGGTCATCTGATCTTTAGCCAGTGCTCTGCGCGGCCCCACCCCCACCGGTTGAATAGCGATGGAGAGTTAAAGCAACAGGGGAGAAAATAAGAGGGCAGAAAGTATAAGAGGCAGAACTTAATGAATTATGTAATTCCAGGCTTGGATCTGGCTACTTGCCCTCAAATTCTGAATTTTCATCTATCAGATGTCCCACCTCTCTGGCCTCTTCCCTACGGCACTGTTTGCAGCCAGTGCGCCAGGAGCCCCAGAATTCCGTGGCTCTGACACTTGCCGCACAAAACGCCGCACTGATAAGCTCAACGGCTCACGGCGCTCAGGTGGAGGGGCCAATTGCCTCAAAATCGTGAGAATAACGCCCTTTAGGTGTGCCTGCTGGCGTGAGGCTCCTGGCTAATTTAGCGAGGCATCTGGCGGCAGCGCTTGGCATGCCACGGCATGGCACTGAGTCGCACTGAGTCAGACCGGTGGTAGGCCAGCCACAAGCTGAGTTTTCAGAACTACTTAACAAAAACTTCAAAAGAGTTGCTCCACCATCACCCGCCAAAGCCCAGATTGTCCCCCAAAGTTTTTATCTCCAAAAATACCCCCACGGTTATGGCAAATCGCCTTGTCCGCTGACGGACCCGCGCGCCCGGTGCCGGGCCCAGTGCGGCAGCCGTGAAGAGATAAAAGCTGGCCTACCGCCAGTGCACCCACCATGGACGAAAACCCAGTGGTGCCGGGGCTTTTTCCCGCTATCGACCGGAGCATGTGGGCCAGTCTGTGGCAGCTCGACACGCCCCGGATCGTTGTTTCCCAGGACGAGTGCAAGTGATGTTTCAGGCTCTAGGCCTGGATTTCGAATCTGCAATTGAGTCAGAAGTATGGGGTTAGGCATTTGGGCCGGGGCATTTGGGTGCAAATAATGGACTGTCGCAGCGCGGCATCCCGATCTTGCCTGGCTGCAAGAGGAAAGTTGAAGTTATGGAAGTTGAAGAAGAATAGGTTGGAAGTTGCCTTTATGGGCGGTGGATTGAGTCTGAAGTCAGAAGTAATTGGTGACTTCAGCCTGACATGTCGAATCGGTGGCCCTGGCGGTCAGAGCGGTTCTCACGCTATTTATTAATGCATGGTATTTATGGACGGCAGTAGGGGGTGGTCAGGGAGGTTCAGGGCTTTTGAGTTGATCTGTATGTTTGGTGATATTGACTAGGTTTGTGGTAAATGGTGGTGACTTCATGGTCCATTGAGGGTATATGGCTGCAAGACAGGAAAGGAAAGTTACATCGACAGATGAGCAAATTCATCAAAC